TGGGGTTTTGTCTGGGAGAACTGGGCGAGTGAGGGGTGCTGCAGGACAGAGAAGGCGGGGGACCAAGGCAGGGTCTCGGAAGGGATCCCAATGGCAGGCCAGGAGATGGCCTTGGCGGGAGTCACGGGTGTTGCCGTCCGCTGCGGCAGCTGCGACATGTTTGCCCTCCTCCTCCAGGAGAGGCAGGGCTACACTTGCCCTCGGTGCCAGCGGGTGACCCTCCTAGAGGAGGCGATGAGCTGCCTGAGGGCCGAGAGAGCTCTCCAGGTGCCCCGGGAGCAGCCCCCCTCCAGACAGAGGGTTGAGGGGGCACGGGAGGAACAGCCGGGGAGCCACGGAGGCAGGTCACCCACAGGAGGGGGAGGCCGGCACGTCCGCCTCCTCCTGGGGCCGATCTGGAGCCGGGAAGCAGGTTCTCTCCGCTTGGGGAGGCTGGGGCTGAGGCCTCGGGGGACCAGCAGGATCCCCAGGCTGGGACCACAAGCGGCAAGGGGGCCGCTGCAGGAGAGGCGAGGGCCAGGGCATGGCTGCCTACCACCACTGGGAAGAGACAGTGGCAGGGAATCGTCATGGGGGACTTCCTGCTGAGGGGCACTGAGGTGGCGGCGTGCCGTCCCGACATTGAGGCGAAGGAGGTCTCTTGCCTGCCGGGCGCACGCATCCGGCATGTGAAGGACAGAGTGGAGCGTCTTGTTTGCTCCGGTGATCCATGTGGGCACAAACGATGTGGCCAGGCAGGGTGTGGGGGGGACCGCCAGGGACTTTGAGGCCTTGGGGAAGGAACTCAGGGAGCTGAAGGCCCAAGTGGCCTTCTCGTCGATCTCACTGGGCCGGGGATTTGGGCCAGGGATAGGAGGGTCACTGAGGTGAACGACTGGCTCAGGGTGTGGTGCCAGAAGGGACGCCTCCATGTCATGAGCAAAGCGGACTGGAGCTGGGTTTCAGGCTAGATGGTCTGGGAGGCCCCTTCTGCCTCGCGCTGTTTCCACCTGAATGTTTGTTCAGGCAGGCTTTAAGGCTAGAACCATCTCACTTCTCCACAGCAGTCTGTACACCCAAAGAAATGGACTCCGGTCCACATGGGCTCGTAGCACAATCGACGCACGAGATCGTAAACCTTGCAGGGGTCACGAGAGCCTTCGCTGCCTTCGCTGCTCTAGACTAATAGGGCCACCCGCCGGGGTCCTTCACGCTGCAGCGTGACTGCAGAAGTGGAGAAGGCCTGCCGAGGGCTCCCCTCATTTCGGCGGTGGCCGGAGCATGGGACGGGACTGGAGCGTCTGGCAGCCAGAGGGGGCAACATCCAGGCAAGGTGCCCCCATCAGGGCAGCAGGAGAGGAAAGACGAGCCGAGCCAGCACTCACCTGTAAGCAATCTCGTACTTGCCCTTGTTCTTCATGGAGAGTGACTGCTTCGCTTCGTCCATGACTTTCACAGTTCCAAACTCCAGGGTGCCATTCGTACCTGCAGTGGCCACATGCGGCGGAAGATGAGGTATGGCTGGCGGTCCCACGGTAGGCATGTCTGCCCCGGAACACACCGCCTGCCCCCAACCCAGAGGAAAGGTTCCTTTCAGGCAAGAGGTGCGTGCAAAGCAAGCTGTCCCCGCCACACACACATCCCACATGCCAGGTGTGCATTTTCTCTGCTGCTGCACAGGTCCAGCACCTGCCAGCGTCGGAATATGTGAGAAAACGCACACCTCTGCATGGGCGGGGAGGTGCACACGCAGTGGCAAGCGGGGCTGGACTGAAAGAACGGCACACGTGGGCAGGGAAATAAGTTGAGGAGGCACCCCTGCCTTGTGGATGGACTCGAGGGCCTGCTGGTCCTTCCCCACCCTGGTCCACCTTCAACATCCTTCTGGCCAAGAGTGATCCAGGCTTGAAGCCCCAAACCCACCTCTGGGGAAACTGATGTCCAGGGCAACGTCGTAGGCCTCAGCAATGATTTGTATGGTTTCAATCTGGACAATCCCCAGGATGTTTTCTGCATCTGAAACCTGAAATGGCAGCAGGTTAGTCCCCTCTGCTCAGCACTTCCTTGGAGTCCCTGGACATTCCTGGGGCAGCCCTTGAGTCCTGGCCATGGCTCAACCAGCTGTCACTTCCACAGGATCCCTCTTCATGCTCACTCCCCTGCCTCCTGTGCCCCCTGCCCCACCCCACCCATGGGACGCTGCAGGCACACTTCCATTCACGCGGCTTTTCACGCAGATGAGCAACTCCAACAGGGAACCCTCTTTCAATGCAAACAGCCCCTCCTGGGATGGCTCTGCTTTTAGCAACTGCACAAGACATTCAAGCAGGCCTTTCCTAGGGAACAGACAGCTCCAGTTCTTCTGATAAAACCTGACTGAAAATATTATTTGTTTTAACATTTACTTTGTATTTTAATTGCCTTTCACTGCTCGCGGTTTTTTGTTTTAGCCCTGGATCATTTTAGACCAGGATATGCCAGCTGCACGTGGCATTCCTGGAGTGCTGGGACACATACAGGAAGTGGTGGCAGATAAATGTGACCTGGTAAGGAGCTGAGCTGGCTGGATGTCCCCAGGGAAGGGCACCCCCCAGCTCAGCAACTGGCCGCAGGGGCAGCAGTGCATGGTGCCAGCAGTCCTTCCTGACGGGTCTGTAGCTCAAGGGCAGCTTCAAGGGGAGGCACAGCTGGGGGCGCTGGAAGCCCAACAGCTATGCAGGGCACCTGGCAGGACAAGACGGCTTTGCATGAGACACACACCATTTTTAATCCAAGGCCTGGCTCCCAAAGCAAGGGGGCTTGTCCGGCCCTGGGCCCGGCACCATCCCCATAGCGCAGGAGCAAAGGAGCTGGCTGGGGCCCTGGGGACCGACCTCCAAGCGGATGGCCTTCTTGATGTTGAGGGCCTTGGTGGCCTTGAAGTGCACCAGCAGGCAGTACTCAGAGAAGGGCTCGATGAGGCCCATGTCCTCGGAGACGGAGAAGTCATCGCCGAGGTTCTCCAGACCGCTGACCCGCCATGCCACAGGCAGTGGGGTGAAGTTCTTTAGGTAGAGCGACTTGGTTTCCTTTCTGCAGAGACAGAAGAGGCCGAAAAAGCAGCACTTCCTGGGGACTCCGCTCCTGGGATCCCTGCCTGTGGAACCTTCGCCTTCCCTTTTCATGCTGGGCCGGCTACCCATCTGGGAATGCGGCCACTTGCACCTTTGGTCCCACAGGGTCTGTTAGTATGGAGCCCCTCAGCCGAAGGAACTGGGCTTGCATTCCGTACACACAGCTGGTGCACCCCAGGTGGCCCTGCTAGGCTTCTCAGACCCCCGAACCCCTCATCCAAGGGGGGGTGCACTTCTGGCAAGGACAAAGAGAAGCTAGAAAGAATATAGGGAAGGACTGTAAAGGGGAGAGAAAAAGATGGCAGACTCCTTCCAAGAGGAAAACGACAGGGAAGAGCCTGCAATACTAGAAAGTAAAGTGAAGTGAAGTGAAAGCTGCTCGGAAAGCACTTGGAGGGAATGAAGCAGCCAGGGTAGATCAAGTACCAAGAGAACTATTCCAAGCTGCAGAGCATGAATTGGTCCCAACAAGAACATGCCAGCAAAAATGGAAAACAAAACAGCAGCCCACAGACAGGAAGAGCGTGTGGCAAATATAGGACCATTCCACAGATTTCCCATGCAAGTAAAGTGACACTCAAGGTATTTCAGTGAAGAGTCCCACCCTGTATGGTTCAAGCTGGATTCTGAAAAGGAAGAAGAGATCATACCCCAAATACACATGGATTGCTAGAGCACACCAGAGAATTTCAGAAGAAGATTGGTCTGGGCTTTATAGACTACAGCAAAGCCTCTGATGGTGCGGATCATGAGAATCTACAGATGGCCCTGTCAGAAATGGGTGTTTCTAGAGAAATAAAATGGTTTTCTGCAGATGAATGTATCAGACAAAGATGTATTTTATCTCCTTGTCTGCTCGGTCTGTATGCAGAACATAAGGAATGCTGGATTAGGATCAGAGGAAAAAGAAGAGAAAAATCAGTGGAAGATCAGCAATGCTTTAAGATATACAAATGATACCATCTTATTGGCAGGAAGCAGCACTGAATTGAAATGACTCCAGATGGAAGTGAAAGAAGAAAGTAGAAAAGCAGAACTGTCTTTGTGGAGTTGTACATTGGCACGTGGAGTGTCTGTTTTCCTCATCACTCTTGCTTGTCACCACCATAGCTTCACAAAACAACCCATGGTTCTGGGTTTACACAGAACCACCACCTATGGTTTAAACAATCCAGAATTCACAAACCAACAACACACAATGGCTTCTCTGTTTAGAATGGTTGTTAATGAACTATGGTTTGTTAGTATGTCTGGATTCACACTTTACACCAAGCCAGAATTAAACAAGCCATGCTATGAATTAGTGCTACAGGTGAACCACACCATGGACTGTTAAAGCATCTCACTCACTGAAACAACCTCTCTATAAACGCTATAAAACAGGAATACGGTGTCGAGAATGCACATTTTCATCCCATATTATGGCATGCTGACTCCAGTAACATGTAGGGAAAATGAGCATGACCTGGAATATTCTTCAATGTCTATTAGTAAAAAATGTTACTAAGAAACATAAGCAGTAATTATACTGAGAATCTTACAGAGAGGAGTGGAAACATCTCTTCCAAACCACTGTCCCTCCCGCAAGAGCATCAACATTTCCAGCAATATCACACCTCGCTATGAACAGTATTTCTGTGACATTGTGTCTAGAAATCATTTGGCGGTAGTAAAAGCTAGGTAGCAATTTCACCATTCTGAAATAAATTATTTCATAATTCAAAATTGTTCAATTTGTCAGAAAAATGGGTAGCTCATTGGAGACAAAAGACAAAAACACAGCAAGGAAGGTAAAACAGAGCAAGGAAGCTTTGGCTCTTAAACAGGGAAGGCAAACTGGAATTGGCCAAAGCTGCCTGATCGACCAGGCCCGGACCTGTGCAACAGCAGCTTTTCAAAATGCAGCTGACGGCGGTCCAGGTCCAGCTCCGGGCGAACACCTTGGCAGCAGATCCGGAAGACGACGGGCTCCGGGTTCTCTTTGATGCAGCAGACGATGCTGTCCTCAAATATCCCACTGGCTGTCGGATAGGCCCAGACAGTCAACACCTGGGAAGGCAAGGCAAGCGTTCAAGGGAGGAGCCGCCAGAGTGAGTGCCCGTCGAAAGGACAGTCGCCTTCTGCTGTTACCTGCCGTTCGCTGGGCTTCAGCGTGAGGCTGGGAGGGTCCAAGAGGTATGTGACTGCTTTGGAGTCATGCTTGAAGAAGAAATGCACTTCCGCCTCCAGAGGGGACGTGTTGAAGATGGTAATCTTCTCAAAGTGATTGGGGTACCGTGCAGCCTTGTACCTGTGCACACGCGGAGTGAGGCAGCGATGGCCACGGGGAGGAGGGCGACACTAACTACAAGGGCTTGCGGTCAGCCTGCGGCAGCCCCCGTGGCAGGCCACTCTGACGCCTCCTCCCGCGGCCCAAGAGGCGGAAGATTCCCTTTAGTGGTTGGCTGCCAGCCTCTGCCACCCTGGCCATGCCGACGGCCTGCCTGTGGGCCTCTGTGGGCCAAGCCCCGCCACACAGCCCCTGCTGAGGCGCCCAGGTGACAGGCTTCTCCGGGACCTGCCTCAGAGCTGGGGCGCGGCCACCAGCAGGCGGGCGCGGCCACTGCAACGGGCACTTACTTCTCCCTTGACTTCCCGCACAGCAGGGGCCCAAAGTGGAACAAGCCCAAACTCATGATGTACTTCTTGAAGATGATCTCGTCAGGTTTGATGCTCTTCTTACGGTGGGGAAATACAATCCTGGATCAGAGAACCAGAGATGCAGCAGGAGCTGAGTGGCAAATTATAGGGTATGAAAGGACTGCACTCGCATTGCCGTATTCTGCACCACCCTGAACTCAACAGAATGTACTCGCAAGTGAAAACAGAAAACGGGGGGAAAAAACAGGCAAGCCGTCTGGAACCCTGCGGTACAGGCAGAGCCCTGCCCATGGACCAGCAATGCAGACGAGTCCTTACATAGCCTGATCCCCAAGATGGAGCCCCTCCTCTGCTAGCACAACTGTTAACAGAGTAAGGTTTCTGAACGTGATCTTGGAAATGATCTGGAAATTATCTTTTGTTTCTGGATGGCATAACCTCCCTGCAGCCATTCGCTGGGAAATCCCCCTGCTCAGGGAAGTGCTTCCATTGCTGCCTACATGCAGAGAGCATTTTGGCCAACAGGCTGCCTGAGGCACATCTGGACTGGTACAAAGCAATGATGACATAAGCAGAGAGGAGACAACATCCTTGTGGGCATCACGAGGTGAGCTGACAGCAGGAAGGTGGCCTGTCGCTATGGCTGGCCATGCAGCCACTTCAGCCAAGGACAGCTGCCTCTGGGCACGCTCCTCCTCGCTGCCTTCAACAAGAAAGCGAACGCGGAATCCAGACAGGGAAGCAAGGCACAGATGGGCCACAGATCAACCAAGGACACATCTGCCAGCTGCAGGAGGGTATCCCTGGGCTGGGGCCAAGGCCAACTGCCTGGAGCAACACCTTCTGGGATGTGACGATACAGGGCAGGTGGGCTTTCCCAGGGCACAAGGGGACCGGAGTCTGTCTCAAAGACTGACTCTGGAACCCAGCCTGGAGGGCCTGTGTGACTTTTCGGTGCCCTCCTCCGGGAACTCACATGGGGTCCTGGCAGATGGTTGGGTACGTGCAGGTACCCCTGCAGTACACCTGATATTGTCTCCGGGTCCCCATGATCTCAAAGTTGAGGACCTGGTCGAACAGCCCGGTTCTGGTGGAGGAGAAATGGAGGCGCATTGAAACCTCTCCGTTTGCAGGAACAATCCAACGGAAGCAGCTCAGCCTGTGAAAGATGAAGCATGAAGAGCCTTCCTCAAAACCGTGGAAGGAGGTACGTTGCTTTAGGATACAGGGAAGAATGCACTGCATACATCTCAGGAGAGGTTCTCCTGGGCAGGCCTCATGGTCAAGGGCCAGTCCCAGGCAGGCCAACATTTCCCGCCAGCTCTGAACCCCTGGGAACGGAGGAGTCAGGCCCGCCTTGGGTGTTGCCAGCCTCCTCCTCGCTCCCTCACCTGAGAAGCTTCTCACTGGATGGTTCCCCTGTCAGCCCCCCCTGATCTAGCTCCGACAGGGCTGTCATTGTGCCTGGGCTAGGGTGAGGGCCCTTCCTGCCACGGGCTGTGGCTTTCTTCTCCCTCAGAGCGTCACGGATTAGCTCCGACTTTTCCTTCCTGAGCTTGCCTCGAGTCGGGGTGGTCTGTTCTTCCTGAAATTCAGCAGAAACATAGGAGGGGGGAAGCAGAGGGAACCGTATCCTTCTGGAACTGGAAAGAAGTCAAGTTGAACTGTTGCTATTCTGCGTGTGCGGACAGGAGCAGCCCGTGATGTATGGCACCATTCAACAATGTGTCACTCTTTGGAAGGGTTGGACTGCAATTCCCATCACTCCAGTCACTAGGACCATGGGGTTTGCTGTCTAACACATCTGCGGGTGCCAGGCTGGAGAAGAACCCTGAGAGCTTTGCCTGCTCCTGGACTTGCCGACAAAGCCTTCCTTGCAGGGCAAAGAGCAGCTTGGGGGAGATTTTTGTTGGGATGGTGGGAATACAGCGGGAGCAGGGCTGAGCTCCAGGGGCTTCAGGACACTGCAGCCCTGCTTGCTTTGCAAAGCGCATCTCGGTTCCGGCATAATTACCTCCCTCCCTTCATTAATGTCCGATGCCCATTAAGTGCTTTTTGCAAATTGAGGTCAAGTACCCTTTGGCTTTAATTGGGGCACTTTCCTGACCCCAGTATAATTGCCAAGTTGTCACTGCAGCTGTCCACCAAGCCCTCCCCAAACAGCCTCCAAGACTAGAACACAGCAGTCGCTCAGGATCGCAATCCAAGGGCACTTTCCCCTTCAAATCCCAAAGGAGAAGAGTTAACAGGCCCAATGGGAATGAGTGTGGGGGGGCTGGCGGGAGGCTCTTCTCTGCCCTGCCACCTGGCAGAGGCTGTGCTCACTTCCACGACCTCGGGGCAGGTTGGTGGGCAGTGCTGCACCAGAGCCTGCGGGCAGTTCGTGGCACCTACTGGCCAGGCCGGGACACACGCGCAGGAACGCCATGTCTGCGGGCAGCACCCTGCTCCCAGGCACATGAGGCCAGCACGGGCCGCCTCTGCTCTGATTGTGGCCCTGGGTTCAAGGCCACGCATGAGGACAAAGAGAGCCCAGGAGCTGCTGAGAGCCAGAGGCAAACTCACGCGCTGCCCAGAAGGGCCGCTCCCCGGCTCCTGCCGCCACTGCCTTTGTGCGGGCAGCGGCATTTCCCGGGGCCGAGGCCAGCAGGTCTCAGAACAGCAGCAGCAGGCTGGAGGTGAGTGGGCTGGAGCGCCCACCTGGACAGAGCGGTGGCGGCACCACACTGGGCCTCCTTTTTGCCATGCAAATGGCTCGGGGGCTCTGGTAGCCACACAGGACAGACATGCCATCGGCTGAGTAATTCCAAACCCTCGAAGGCAGGAGGGAAGCCTGCTCAACCACCCCCGTCTGGTCCTGCCTTTCCAGCAGGGACTGGCCCCATCAAGGAGAGAAGCCCTCTACCTTTGCCACAGGGGGACTCGCCCCCATCTCTGCACCGGCATCGGCATCCTTCTTCTCATCATCCAGATTCAGCTCCTCAGGAGCAAGGAAGGTGAAGTGCTTGAGAGCCTCCCCAGGGACTGGCGCTGACCGCTTCTCTGGGTACGGGATCACGGAGAAGAAGGCCGTGGGAGGGATGGGGGGCCCCGAAGGACCCAGGCCCAGCCCATTCAAGATCTGCAGAGACAGAGAAAGCCACGCTAACGTGCTGCTGCTGCCATTGCCAATCCAATCAATGCGCAGATAAAAATTGAGCCGCCTGGCTTTCGCTTTTGACTTCACTTGGTGGAAAAGAAAAATATGGCGAGCCCCAGGATCCTCACACAGTGGAGCTGGAAGGGGCTTCGAGCCCAAGCACCTGACAGGTGGCTGTCCAGCTGCCCCTTCAATGCCTCCGGTGTGGGAGAGCCCACATCCTCCTGAGGTCCGGGGTTCCTTTGCTGCGTTGCCCTGAGAGTCGAGAAGCTTTTCCTAAGGCTCAGCTGCACTCTGGCTGCCTGCAACTTGTTCTGTGTTCTGCACTGTGCGATGGTCAAGAAGAGACCCAGGTGTCGTAAGGCAACACATCCGGCCGAACCTGGATTATTTCCAGTCTGAGATGGGTACGAAGAGCCTCTTTGGGCTTGAGGATCCAATCTGATTTCAGGAAATCTTCTGGGGGCTGTTTTTCCGCAGTGGGCATGGCTCTAAGTAAAAGTGTGGCCCACAAACACCAAATGCAGTGCCATGTCTCAGATTTAAGCCACGCCACCAGCATTTTGACCTTTCCAAGTGGGGAGCAGGCGGAAGCCACCTAGAGACAACGAAGGGGCCGTGGCTATCTGGGGGACCCTCCAGAATGGCCTGCGGCTGCGCTTGGTTGCTCCCCCGCCAGGACCCACACTCCTGCAGGAGGCCAAGGAGGCTTGGGCAGGGTGGACTGAGGACCCCCACGGGCTGGATGAGGCCCCTAGGCTTAGGGCTTTGCATTCCTGCACTGAAGAATGCTTGGGGACGCTAATCTTGGGATATTAGGCTCCTGCCTGGCTGACCTACAACTACCTGCCCTGAACCCCAAAGCCAACATTCCACAAGCACGAAGGACCTCATATCTCCAGGGTGACCTCCAAGGTGGCCACTGATGCTGGAGGTGGCCCCTTCCCTCTGGCTGTGGAGCAGGGGATGCCAAGGAGGCCCACCTGCATGACATCGGGCAGCTTGCCGCTCTCCAGGATCCTCTTGCCACTAGAATCCTCCGAGCTGAGTACCTGGATCTCGAGGTATGGGACCCCCACATCCTTCTCTCCTCCTTCGCCCCCTTCGCCCTCCTGGCCTGTGGCTCGGCTGTCCTCCAGGGCCTTGAGCCTCTCCAGACGCTCCCTCTCTACTCGCTCCTTCTCCGCACGCTCCTTCTCCGCGCGCTCCTTCTCCAGCCTCTCCTGGCGTTCCCGCTCCCGGTCCTTCCGGCCCTTCCGGCCCGATGGGGCCTGGCGCTGATCCTCCACCTCCTCCGGCTTCTCCTCGGAGCCCGGCGGCTGCAGCTGGGCCAACTGAACTCTGTCCCAGAACATGAGCAGCTGCACTATGTCCTTCTGGGTTGCCTCGTAGAGCTTGAACCGCTGTGCCAAGGCCTTCTCGTTCTCGCTCAGCACTTCCTTGTCGACCTCCTCCTCTTCCTGGGGTGGAGGCAGGGCCGCCCCCTGTTCGTTTGGCAGGACCATTCTGTACCTTTTCTTCTTCTCGTCCTTGTCGTTGACACCCACATCTGGACGCTCCTTTGCAGACGGTTTCCGCTCTATCCCTTCATTCAGCCTCCCATCAGACCTGAAAGCTGATATGGGGGGATTCTGCATCGATGAAGCCAAAGAAATGGAGAAAGCGTGTTAAGGCAGGTGGCTTACTACCAGGGCACTGCAGTCCCTTTAACGCTGTCCAAGCAGGTGGCTCACAGCACCTTGTGGAAGGGAATTTCAGAGTGTGACGATGCACTGTGTGAAGAAGGACCTCCTTTGGCCCACCCCAAATCTCCCCACCATCAGCTTCATGGGATGCCTCCACGGGGGCTTATGAGAAAGAGAAGAAAATGCCCACCACACCATCCATAATTCTGCACACGTTGGCCTTGTCTCCCCTTTCTCACCCTCTTTTCTAAGCCAAGGAGCCCCACATGGTGCAACCTCTCCTCTCGCAGGAGCGGCTCCAGCCCCAGAATAATCTCAGTTTCTCCCTTCCACACGTGTCCCAGCCCTGCAAACGCTCTCCTGAGGTGCGGCAACCAGGCGCTTGCACCTTGCCGAGTGCCGTCCACCTCCGCGTTCCCAGGACAGATCGCGGACTCTCTGCCCACGCATCTGAAGCCCCTGTCGATCCCTTCACGGAGCTGCAAGTGAGGGGGGGCCCTTGGTCTGACCCAGCAGACCGACCTCTGCCTGCCGTGCTGTGCCAGCACTGCACCTCGCAGGATCGCCCTGTGCCACACCCTGCGGCGGGGGGCCCCCCGGCTGTGCCACGCCCCGGGAGCGGCTGCCCTTGGGCCTTACTTGCTTCCCTGCTGGCTGGCCCTTCTTCCCCACAGGATCCTCCTTCTCCTTTCCGGCCTCCCTCCTGTACCGCTTGCTCTTCTTCTTCATCTCCTCCTCCTCCCGCAGGCGCTCCAGCTCCTGCTGGTGCTTCTTCTCCTCCAGCTCCCGAGCAAGTTTTTCCAGCTCCCTGCAAAGGGTTGCATATGGTGCTGCTCAAGTCGAATTAACAGTCGGAGAAACAGACGGACTCTTCACACAGAGCGTTGTTCAGCCACGGAAGGTGCTTCCATCAGATGCAGAGACAGCCACCAACTTGAGCAACCTTAAAACTGGGCTGGGCCAATCCACGGTTGCTGGTCTTGAGGGCCACATGCCGCCTCCAGCACCAGAGCCAGTGGGCTGCCAGTGGTGGGGGAACATGCTGCTGCATCCTGTCCCACTTGCGTGAGTTAGGCCACTGTGCAAACGGAAGGAAAGCTGGGCGGACTTTAGCTCTGACCCAGCTTGGCTCGCTTTATGAACATATGAATTAATCACTCAAATATTCACATATTTTTTATTTTATGGTTATCACCTACAAAGCCCTTAAAGGCTTGGGACCTGGTTACCTGAAGGAGCGCTTACGTCCATATATGCCCTCCCGCCCCTTGAGATCGGTGGCAGAGGCCCTTCTCCGGGAGCCCTCCGTGAAAGATATCAGGAGGGTGAGTACCCGGGGAAGGGCCTTCTCTGTGGTGGCGCCCAACCTATGGAACGCGCTCCCCAGAGAGGTCCGCCTGGCGCCATCGTTATTTGCTTTTCGACGCCAGGCCAAGACCTTTTTATTTAAACTTTATTTTAATTGTTAATTTTATTTATTGATTTTAACCCTTTTGCCAGGATGTTTCCAATATTTTATGCAATTGTATCGTTTATATTTATTTATGGTTTGGAAGCCGCCCCGAGGCTTATGCAAATGGGGTGGCATATAAGTTCTCTAAATAAATAAATAAATAAATAAATAAATATTTTTGCTAGACCAGTGATGGATGTTATCCAGCACGCAAAGGGACCCAGAGATCTTCACAAAGGACAAGAGATATTGGGCCTGGTTCTCCCATCTCTCGCACAGCTGTCCTGCCCAACACACCTAAGGGGCAATGCTTCTCATCATTTCAGTCCTGGGAACAGCAGATGAAAATGGCACGATACGGCACCATAACAGGGCAGCAACTGGGGGCCCACGTGCATTCATGAGCAGAGATGTGCGATCTCCCTCCAAGATGGCACTGCCCCACCTCCTCTGGGGCCAGAACAACATGCCCGGGCCTGCCAAGGATCCGCTCTCTGACCTCTTTTTTCGTTCACGTAGTGCCTGCAACAGTTCGCTATCAAACTGGATTTTCTGTTCTTCGGTGAGGGCATCATAGGCCTCTTCATCCACCTCCTGCAGACGAGCCTTCTCTCTTGCAATAGTTTCTTGCTTTTCCCGTTCTTTTATGCAAACCAAAGAAAAACACAGATCCCCGAGACTGGTTGCAAGCATGGGCCGCTTCAAAGCCAGGCGGCAAGTTCTATGCCTCCTACTGTCCCCATGTGATTATTCTGCTGGCTACAAGGGGGTGCAAGCAAAGTGCAGGAACTGGGCCTGCTCCAAGCTGAACACAACACGTGTGTAGGGACATTCACTCCCCACATCCCTCTTACCTTCCTGCACTTGCTTGCTTTTCTCTCTGGCTTTCATAGCAATAAAATCCTGGCACAGGTTCACAAAATAGATGTAGCGCCTGTTATTGATAGCTTTGAGGAGGCAGAGAAGAGCCGACACAGGGCTGCGAGCGAACAGGGTCTCCAGCCCATCAAACACCATGCCGCGATAGCAGTCACTCAGCTGTCCGGGGAAAAGGTACAGCCCATGAGGCCTGGGTAAGGTGTTGGCCGCTGCTGGACATGCATCGTGCCGTGTCTGCTGCTGGAAAGGATGCTCCTGCACGTCCAAGGCAGCACAGCTCCGCCGGTGCGTGCGCCCCAAAACTGCTGGCAAGCAAACGCAGGCCTATCTGCCTGCCTCCCATGCATACGACAGACAGCTTTACCTGCGGAAAGGGAAGAGGCTTCCCTAGGGGGCACGTGCAGTGAGAAACTGTGCACCAGCGTATTCGCCCTGCCCCTGGCAGCCAGCTGGAACTCTCCCTCACGTATGCATCACCTGTTCTGAATAAATTTGCTTCCCTCCTTCTAGACCTCCCTGACTGAGGTTGCTCTGTAGTGCTTTCCCCTCACAGTAAGCATGCGAGGTAGACCATTAATAGTTTTGATTTGCAGACTCAAAACTGAGGCTGAGAGGCAGCGGTCAAATGCTCCTTTCTCTCCCTGCTTCTTTATCAGGTCTGAGCAGGGACCGAGATTAGGAGCAGGCGTCTCCGATCCAAAGGCAGGCAAGGCTGCCTCACGCTGTCCTTGCCCCAGGCCCAGACGGGATGCAGCAGACAGCAGAGCCGTGAAGAGGAGGAGCCAGCCCAAGCCCACCTGCCCCACCTCACTGCGGGCCTCGGGCTCTCTGGCCAGCCCCTCCATCGGGTTACCTGCATCCGGTCGGAAAGGATCTCCACCAAGAGCTCTTCTGGAAGCACGCAGCTCATCAGGCCATAATCTCCGGCCACACTGGCACTGAGGCTGAGGCGCCGCTGGATTGGCGCGCTGGGAATGGGGCTGGACGGAACCTGCACACGGCACGTTGCAGAGGGCACTCGTCAAAAACCACCCAGGCCACACGGCACGGATGGCTTCCCTTTCTGCTTCCACACCACGATCCTCTCACCTTGGGCAGCCTGGGGTCAGACCAGGGGAAGGCCCAGCTAAAGCAGGGGCTGCTTGGCAAGACGGCCGCATCGGCCCCGAAGGAAACCCGCAGCCAACGTTCAGCTCATGCCCTGGGCTGGGAAAGTGTGGCCCCCACCGGCCCCAGGAGAGGAGTGCAGGGGTGCTGACCACACCAACAGCTAGGCAAAAGCCAAGGGGTGACCTAGCAGCAGCGGCTGATGCTGTAGCGCTGCAGAAGGCCAACAGGTGTGGACTCAGCAGCCCAGGGCAGGGCAGGCAGCAAGTCCAGCAGGCCTCTGGGCAGTGTGGGAGGGGCCAGGGCAGCACTCTCACCTGGGACCCAGCGGGGTCGGGCTGCTGGTGCAGCTGCTGCTTCTGCGACGCATGGCCTTCGGACTTGCCCTTTGCGGTCACGGAGCTTCCCCTGTAGCCTCTGGAGACGGCAGAAAGCGGCCCCGTCTTGGACTCCGAGCTCTGCTGGCTGCCGTCCGAGGCATGCTTGCCCAAGGCCTCTGCGCTCAGCCTGGCGCCCAGAGCGAGAGCCGGCTGCCCCTCGGCTCCTTGACCGGGAAGAAACACAGAGCGATGCGCACCGCAGAAATCGCAGGCAGCGGAAGCCCCCGGAGCCACCCCTCCTGCCTCGGGAGGGCTGGGCTCTGAGGACGTGGGCCGCGCTGCTGGAGGCTCCCCCGCCGGCCACCTCACTTACCTCCTTCCTCAGTCTCCCGCTGTGCCTGCTCTATTGCTGCTCGGATGCACAGCTCCCGTGCACGCAGGCCAGCTGAGCTGCTCCCGTCAGAGATGGCCTCCAGCACCACCAGATCGATGGACAAGCAGGCTGCGCTGTAGTGCTTGGCCAAGGCCACGGCCGCGCTCGTCTTCCCTGGAGCAACCCGAGACAGAGACGTCAGGCGGTGCACGCACGCACGCACGCACGCGCCAGAGCCAGGGCGAGAGGCGCTTCCGCAACTCCGTGCATCCATCTCGTGTTCCCATGATGTGCGCGCCGTTCTTTTTGTGAACTGCCCAGAGCTTTGATTATTGGGCAGTGCAGAAATAAAACAAGTGAAGGAACCGCTGCCGTGAAGGAACTGCTGCCGTCTTGCCAGGCGGGGCCACCAGCCTGAGGGACTGATAAGGCCACGCTCAGCCACTGCCAGCCCTTTTGGCTCTGGCCTCTTGGCAGAGCAACAGAGCAGCAGAGGCACAGGCTGGGAGAGACAGGCTGGACATGCACATGGTGGGCATGTTGTGAGCGGAGCTGGAGCTGGGGGTCAGACTAGATGGCCCGGGAGACCCCTTCTGACTTGCGCTGTTTCTATGTCTCTGTTCAGAACCACTCCAGGAGCGCTCAAGCAGAGCGCAAGGTGGGCAGTGCTGGACCCAGGTGCCCCATTCTGGATTCCTGCAGGCTTTCCCCCCCTTACTTATTTTGGAGATTGGAACAGCTCCCCTGGCAGCCAGCTTTCCCACCTCTTGTTTGGGTGGTCACCAGCTCCCCTTCAAAGTGCCAAAGCAGAGGCTGCCAGGGAGTGCCTAGCATTCTTCTTAAATCTTTGTGTGCCCAGAAATACGCATGCATGCGCACACACAATTGTTCAATTTTTTATTCCCATCAGTGCAAATGTGCTTATTTGTAGAAGTGTGAATGGGAGCACATCAAACCTCCGCCGGGGCCCTTTCAGGAGTGTTGTCACTACCAAGAGGAAGCGGGTACCTCCTCTCCAAGGTGCCCAACAGAGGAGAGAACACCCCCGCCTCCCCCCCCCCCACACACACACAGTGTCTCATGGCACAATGAGAACTGTAACAAGCAGCCTGGGTGCTTCTGGCTGGGAAGGAGATGTTTGGGGGGACCTCCACTCCACTCAGTAAGATCCTCAGCTTTTGCCATCCCCCCCTTTAGTGTCCATGGGGGAGTCATGCCGGCACTGCTCCCCAGCCCTCTGGGAGCTGCAAAGAAGCTGCAAGCGCATTACCCCACTTAAGGGAGGCTGAACTGACAATCCACTGGCAGGTGCCTGTCAAATGCTGGGTTCCTTTAAAATGGGGCTTGCACAAGAATACGGTGTGGTGGATTTGCACTGGGAAATCCCTCAGGGATCCAGATTCCTCACACGGCTATGCAAGGGGGCCCTCTGCACCTGTACCTGTAAGGGGAGCCCCGTGGATTATGACAGCGATGCCTCTGCGGTTCCTGGCAGCCCGTCCTTCTGGAGAGATATCGATGCCAAGGTGACGAGCGATGGCTTTTGAAACGGGGTTGTTGTCAAGCTCTCCCACAGCCTCCTGATGCTTGGTGAGGCTCTGCTGACTTCCGGCTGGAAAGGGGGCAGGGCACAGACAGGCCTGTCAAATGCTAGCATCAGCATCAAATACCTCCCAAGAGCTCCCGGGGAAAGATGGAAGCAGGGGCCCTCCCGTCTGGCAAGCGACTGCCCCATACAGATCTTCTCTGCTGCTGCAGCCACTAAGCTTGTGCTCCACAACAGACTTTGGTGTTTTTCAGAAACCTGCAATCTGCATAACAGAAGCAACCTAAGCAAGTATGTGTGAGCTTATTTTCTTGCATGGTCTGTACTGATCCTGCGAGACAAGGCAAGAATCTCTCTTCTGTTTTCATTTGCCAGGTTTGCCATGGATCCTTCCCTCCCTCTTGCCTTGCACTTTTAGGCAACCCTTTTCTAGGCTGTCGAAAGCCCTGTCAGGCGAGTGTGGAGCCCTCTGCCAGGCCGCCGGCCCTTGCCCTGCCTCACTTTCCCAGTCCAAACGCCAGCTGAGGGTTGGTGGGGCAGGGCAACCCACCGCTGTGCCAATGACTGGTGCACCCGCTGCACTCTTTGCCACAGACTGCCACCGTCCTTTGGTGATGCTGCTTTCTTTGGGAAATAATGAAATGACAGACACGTGCAACATATTTTAGGGAGCCAAACCTTCTCAGACTGGTTCACGAGAGAGAAGCAATACCTGAATCAATAACAGCCAGTAACAATCAGTGATGGGGACAGAAGGTTTTCTGGGGAAATTTCACGCATTTAATTCTTCTGCCAAAAAATTCCCACTTCGTAAGTTCATTAGCAACAATGAAAGAAATTCAGTAGCAAATACAATATTAAGCATGCGTATGCATTTCAAAGTCAGAATTAATGCTTTTGGGGTGATTGTACCCAGCTGGTATGTGAGGAAATCTCTCTCATTGAAATGCAGCTATTTCAATGAATGTCAGTCCGCTAGCATCTGTGGGAATCTATCCTCTGGAGTAGTTGATCCCGCTGGGCTTGTTGGAATTCTTTTCTTTTTGCTGCTGCTGCTGCTGATTTATTATTCCTAAGTTAGAGGGTTTACTATTTGAGGGGTTTCTCCTTCTATGTAATTCTTTCTCAGGCCACTGTGTTCTTGAGCGGAGGCCCTCTTGTCCGTGCATAGCCTACAGATTTCTATTGAGTAGTGGCACATAAATTGTTTTAAATATTTATAAAACACTTGTCTTTTTGCTTTGGATTTCCCCTAGCCCTGAGCTGTCCTGAACTATCTCTAATATTGAATCATTGTTTTTATTTTATACTTTATACTCATTTTGGTGCCAGGTCAAGACCTTTTTATTCAACCATCATTTTAATAATTAAGGCTTTTTAGATGTTTTTAACATTTCCACAGTCACATTCTTTATTCTTTTCTTTCCTTAGTTATGAAAGTGGTTGTTATGTTGATTTATTATTTATTGTTTTAATTATTGTATCATTGTATTTTATACGCTATTTAATCTCTGTAAGCCTTTCTGAGCTGTTCATCAGAAAGGATGGGATATAAATGTTTTAATTAAATTAAATTATTACATTCTTGTATCTGCTTTGGAATTTGTGTAAATGTGAAGTGTACAAAAATGTTGCTGATTTTAATAACGTCAACTTAATTTGCCTACACAGAATTGTGTCAAGACTGGTGCTCTACTAATGTACAGGAGTGACACGCATATCAGTAAAACAGGAAGACTCACGATGCCATCATGTACATGATACGACTGCTTTTCATGCTGCTTTTCTGCAGTCTTTTCTCAAGGCAAATATACACATTGACTTGAGAAATGAGAAAACTAAGAGAAAGAATCTTGATTTAAACTGAGATACAGGTTTTAATTCTGAGAGTCATTGTAGAATCCTTCCTAATTAAAACAGAAAAATCGGTACGCAGGGGCGGGGTGAACAGGGTGGTAAACATTTGTGTGGACTGCTGCCCAGGCTGCCTCACCTCACTTGTGATCCTTGATTGCATCAGCTACTGATGACAATAATTTACTCAATCTTTTAACTAGACTGGCACCCCAAGCTAGGAAAACTCTCACTCACTCTGTGGCTGCCCTTTGTCAGTTCCCTCCTCTTCCTCTTCTTCTTCCTCCTCAAATTTGGATTCCACCCTGGAACCTCGGTTATCGTCATGAAGGGAAAGAGAAGGAAGAATGGAGACGGTGGTCGATGTAGTTTGCACAGTGCTGGAGAGATGAGGCTTTATTCCAGGCTCAGAAACATGCATGGTTTCCTCCTCTTCTGCTCAGGGGAAAAAAGGGAAATGACCTGATGCATACAAACCCCGCCATGAAATCGATCCGAACTAGCTGTGCTGTCAGCATGCCTCAACATGCCGTCCAAACCACAGAGCAACTCAGCGAAGGACACATCCTGCTCTGGACAGGGACGCCCACCGAGCTGCCCCTCTAGAACAAGCTTCTCAGGCGCAGGAAGGCTCCCAAGGTGAACACCTTTGAGCCTTTCTCGGGGTTAGCACCAAAGCCCCTTGGACATGGAACCTGCACACGGAAGACCAGCTTCTAGGCTTCCGGTGCAGGGGCCGTGGCCAAGGATGTGTTTACAGGCATTTACCTTGTGGCCTTGAAACCAAAAGGAAATTTGGGTACCAACACCACATGGGTTTCACACAGGGAGCAGCAGCACCAACTCCAGGGATCCAGTGCAACTGAGCTCTAGGGAGTTTGGGTCACAGGAGGCCGTGGTGTCCCACTCTTAAACAGTCTGCCCGGTTTGAGAGTGCCTGGCAGGAAGCATCCGCCCCATGCCTTTCTCTGAGGCACAACAAGCAAAGTAAGTGCCCATCTCTCTGTGGGAGCTTTTCCTCACACCTCACACACTTTCTAAGCAGCACCTGCGGGGGCCATGTTGCCTGAAGGAAGTGAAGCAACCATTAAAAACTGTAGAAAGGTACAGTTGAAACAAAAAGAAAAAAGCAATCAAAAGAGAAAAATACAATAGGAAGACGAAGGAAGAAAGGAAGAAAAGCTCAGCCATCACGCAGAAATGTAGCCCCTGGACCCAGAAGCCTCGACGTTGTTGCCACAGTGGTTGTCAAGGAGGAAGCGAAGCAGCTGTGGCCTGACTACTGAGAGGGTGGGGGACCCCCCCCACCTCCTCAGTTACAAAAGACGGCTGCAGCGATACTCCACACAGGCATGGATCCCATGCGTATGATGCACAGAGACCATGAAAAAGATTACATTTACTGTGGCCATCTCTTAAAGGTGCCGTGGCTGTGAACGAAAGAGACAAGCCTTCGTCCTGCCCAGCATAAGCCCAAAATGAAAACAAGCAGAGCCTGAAGCATGCGGCTGATGGGTGTGTGCACACGCAGAATGGCCAAACAAGCCAAGCACCCCCGCCCCGGCCAGGCCTGTGTTGTCCGCTGGTCCAGAGGAAGTGGGGGTGGAGGTTGCAAAGGCAACGGGGCCACCATGCCCCACCCACGCAGAGGCCAATGGGCACCTGCCTCCGCCCCAGCCCTCTCCCTCACCCCGCTGCTCAGGAACGTGGCGCCATGAGAGGGAGGGGGGGAACTGCGCAGTAGGCCACCCAGAGGGCTTCAGCTACAGACAGCACAGGCACAAAATCCATCCTCCTCCTCCAGAAAGCAAGGAGGTCTTCTCTTGGATAGGAGCCCGGGGTCCCAAAGGGGCTTCACTCTCTACACAAATGTGTGGCTGGCATGCCAAAAGTATTCCCTTCTCTGGTCCTGCTGGGAGGTCTGGATTGGGGGGTCCCGTTTACACCACCCGGAGCAGCCTGGAGCAGCCGCAGGTTCTCCCCAGTCAGCTCTACTCTGCACAGCCATCCCCCTCACCAGTCTCCTGATTCAGGGTCTCCTGATCGCCTTGGCTCTTCTTCTGCTCCTCATAATATTCCAGCACTTCAGGGGGAAGCTTCTCCCCGGGCACACGAGGAGGCAGCAGCAGGATGTTATGGCTGTCGTACCCCTTCAGCATGCGCAGGATCTTGAGCAGGAAAACACAGGTGCAGTCAGGCCAGGGGCCCTCGGGCTTGCAGACGTCAGATCACACCTGCATCAGATTATCACGGGCCTCCCAAACGGGCTGCAACTGGGCGGGCCTTCCAGCTGGACGCCGTGGCAGGGCCCTCCTGCACACAAAACCGTCTCCCAGGCAGCGTGGTCCCTGCGGACCCTTTCAGGGCTCCAGGGACAGCGCAGGAAGTGCTAGTCTGAGCCACGTGTCCCCTCCTGGCTCCTCCCCTTCTGCCAGCCCACCGTCCCCCGTGCTCTCTCCCTCACGCACACCCATGTGCACAAGCAGCCCTTGTGCCTTTCGGCAAGATTCTCTCTCAGTCAGGCCTTCTCATCCTAGTGCCCTCCAGGCACGTTGGATGACGGCAATGGCGAGTGCTGGCTGGGGATGATGGCAGTTGTAGTCTAACATATCTGAAAGGCATTAGCTGCGGGAGGTCTGCTCTGAATCAAAGACACCCAGTGGATTCCTGCTTTACATGTGTCCAGAGGACTTAGCAGTGGGAAGGAAATGATTGGCGGGTAATGGCAAAAATGGAAGATAAGCAAGTCTGAGAAATGAACCTTCCACTGCAAGCGTGTGCACAGCACCGCCTCCTCCAAGAAAACAGCGGCCATGGAAGCGAGCTTCCCGTGGCCAGAGAAGCACCGATTTCCGCTGCAGGCTTGCTCGATCCTTACCCGCTCTTCCAGTAGATACTGCTGGTCAAACTCCAAGGAGTAGAACTCAATGGGGAAGCAGCAGGGGTTTTTCACCACCACCTCAGCCTCATCCCCGATGGCGTAAGGCAGGAGGGGTCCAAGCTCCAGAATGGCGGGACTGAATTCCAGGCGCGGCTCCAGGCCTTGTCCAGAAACGTTCAGCAGCAGTTGCTGAGTGCTCTGGGAAATGCTCAAAATCAGGTAGTTGCGGTAGAATTTCTAGGATGACAAACATCAGAGATACTCTTGTATTACCAGGAAAAAAGAGGAAGAGCAGGTGAAAGGAGTAAGAAAGTCCCCTTGCCAAAACTCTTTGCGGTCTACCAGAAAGCACACCCATGGTTCCATGCCAGGCAGGATTCCCACACTTTGCCCCTGTGCTCTCTCTGTGCAGTCCCTGCTCCTGCTGGGGCTTCTGGCCTCACGCCATAGAATCATTCCCGGCCCACTGCCTGCTCCTCCCGTCCCCACAGAGCTATAACGGCACCGGCCGACTTAGGACAGCACTACAGGCTTCTGGCTCACAAAAGCTTTTGCCACAGGAATCCTGCCAGCTTCGCTGCATCCTCCATTGCCAAAGTGGCTCCCATCTGGAACGTCCCTCTTGTCCACCACTCCTTCCCAACCAGGCGCTCTCCAGATGCCATGGACCACAACTCCCAGCATGCACTCAGGTTAAAACTCTTTCCAGGTTTGCCCCCAAGAACTCAGGGCGTTCCCACGACCAGGTCCTCATGCTGAAATATTGTCGTAACAAACTCACATGCCAAATCAGGGATGTTGCTTATGCAACTCAAGGAACATCTTTTATATTGGATTTTATGTGGCCTTTATTTTATCTGCATGGTGCTGTGCTGCTTTCATTGCTAATTCCCCAGAGAGCTTCAGCCGTTGGGGCTGTATAGAAGTAGGAGCTAACAATGACCAACCCATAATGACTGGCAGCAAATTCAGCGTTAAACTCCGCCGCAGCCCCGCTCGTGGGCAAACACCAGGGGGCTCCCGTGCATGTAGTACGGCACATGAACCCCACCTGGCCCTCTTACCTCTTCTCTTGGCGCAAACTTGACCTGCACGTTGAGTCGCTCTCCGGGTGCCAGAATCCCATACGGGGGGATCATCTCAAACACGTGGGGCTTGCTCTTCAGTTCGTGGTGCATCTTCCGACGCAAAGCAGCTGGCATGCGCTTGTCCACCTAAGCGCATCACGAGCAATGACATCAGCGCCTGGCGAGGGCAGCTCCAGGCCACAGTGGAGCAGCCCCGTGCCGCTCTGCCAGAAATGCATGGAAGCGCTGCCACAGGCAACAATCGGCCCCTCGACTGTTCAGAGGAACAGCTGTGCAACGTCCCTGGCGTTATGCTGCCCCTCGCCCATGGGAGCAAAGAGGAGGGCTCCAGGGAGTGTGGGGAGGGGCTCTGGGCAGGCAGAAGGCCGGCTTCCGCCATCCCCACTGCCAAACTGCTCCGCTTTGAAATCAGGCCCATGCCGCTGCCCTGAGCAGCGGAGGTGGCTGCACCTGGCCTCGCCTCGCCTCTGCTGTGCGGGTGGGTCTATGCACACTCTTAAATCTCACGGCTGAATCAATCAGCGCGCATCGATCATCAGGGCCGGGCACCCCTGACTCCCCTGCTCCTGCTGGTCACCTCTGCCGTGGCCAACGATGGATGAGGCCACCAACACAGCTATTTTTTGGTACCTCTTCTGCCAGATACTGCTCAGCATCTGATGAGGCTGGAATCAGGTCCGGGATTTTTCTCACTGCCGAGCCTTTAAAAATGGCTTTGGATATGCATGAGCCCCTGGGTGTGCCGAGCGTCTGCACGTTCATACACAACCCATTTTTATAAGGCAGTCCCTCACCTGGCAGCCCGAGAGCACCAAGCCGGGCGCTCAGGAAGGGCAAAGCGAAGGGCGCCGGTGGGATCGCCTTACCTTTTCCATTTGCTCGTTGCTGGTCGCCATCCACTCGCACGAGACCTGCAGCTGGTTGTGGAGTTGCACAGTCTGCACCTGGCACTGCCCGCACTGCACGGCCGAGAATTCCAAGTCGTTGTTGGAGATGCAGAGGGAGGGCATGATAACAGTGGCGCGGAGAGAGATGTGGAATGTGGGCCCAGCCACGACCTGGAGGACGCAACAGGAACCCCTCCTAAGCACAGGCTACTGGGGGGGGCGACTCCCTCCACCCCCACAACACACCCAGCAGGGCTCACGGAGCTCAGCCTGCACCCAATGGTGGAAATATGCCCAGTAGATTATGATCCATGATCCCGAGATCCAGAGTGCAATGCACCTAAAGCAGCAAGATCATGGAGAGATCTAGGAACACCAAATACTCCAGGAACCTTGCATTCCTGCCTGCTGTTACACACACAGTAAGCCGAGTCCCCAGTCCTGGCCCATCCAGCAAGTCTTCACAGTGGGCTTAGAGGAGGGTGCGGCATCAGCCCCGGTTCTCATCCCAGCACACATGCAGATGGAAGATGTGGCCAGAAGGGCCCCGAGCCAGTAGCCCAGGCCAGGGGAGAAGGCAGCCAGAGCCCTTGAGGAACCATCCCACCCACTGCCTGGCATCCCATGTGCTCCCTCTGCTCCCGGAGGATCCAGATGCGTCAGAGCCCAGCTCCAGGCCAGAGCACGGTTCCTTCAAAGCAGGGGAGGCAGCCTCATGCCTGACGTCACACCTGGCCTCCCAGAATTCCCCTGAGGGACACAACCATTTCCCCCAGCTATAGACCATTTGGTGGTTTCCAGGCTTTTGCCAGTCCCTCCCAACCTGCATGGGCGAAATCCCTTTCCTTAGGCTTAGCTACCTTACTCTGCAAACGCTGGTACATTTCTGCATGTTGCCCCACTCCTGCTGTCATGGGAATGTGGCCCTTGAGAACTTCAGGTGGAACGGGGCTCTCCAGCCCTGCTCTCAGCTGCTCCACTGCCAGGCGGTGCAGGGCCGGTCCAGGCCTCAGGGCCTGCAGCAGAACCAATTCTGCTGAGCATGGCCACCGTCGAGCAGCCGTGGCCCTGAGGCCCAGCTGGCTGGCCCCTTCTCCTGACATGGCCTCTTCTGCAGCCTGCTACCCGCTCCCCCACTGCTGTTCCACTGGCAGCAACGGATCTGTGCAACCCACCTGTCTGTGCAATTCTGTAAGTCCACAGTGGACTTTGTCTGGGCCCAGGGCCGTGATAAAACATTAGTTAGCCTGCAGCTGTAATTGAAACTGGCGCGGAGGGTTCTCGTACACCCATGCTCCTCACTGCAGGAGGCACATAACTATACGCAGGCAGAACTGTCTTGGCTGTGCAGCTCAGGAACCCAGGAGGGCATGACAGGAAGTGGGGGGGGGGCTCTTCATCACACCTTGATGGGCAGCAGCACGTCCACCTCTCCAAGGGGCTGGTTGGCACTCTGGGGATCGAACCACACTTCAAAGGTCTGCGTCTGGCAGAAGGGCAGGTTCTTCACCCGATCCAGCTCAGTGTTGAAACCTAGCTCCAAACAGCAACAGGTTCACTCTTGGTGCTTCCACCCAGCCCTGCAGAAGCTTTTGATTTCCTTCGTTATGAGCTCGTGGTCTCAGAGGCTTCGGCCAAGCACCTCCTGAGGCTCCCCGCATGCCTTCACCTTGCCCCTTACTATGCAAACAATGTATGGGGCTGTGGCAAGAGCGCCGAGGATATGCCACAGCAGAGCTGTGACCAGCTCGAGGACAGCCCGGGGCAGTGGGGAGAACAGGCTGGCCGGAACGCCTCCGTGACTGATGACCAAGCCCCAACTTCAGGCAGGAGGTCTAACTGCAGCCCCAGGAGTCTGGCGTCCGTGGAGCAAGGCCAGGCCCAACGCGAGGGTAGGCACTGCCTGCTCAGCTGCCCCCTCCCCTGCCTTCTTTGCGCAGGACTGCTGGCAGGCTGAGGACAAGGCCAAGGGGAAAGCCAGCGCAGCACAAGGGGAACTCAATGGGGCTGGAAGCACCTCCCAATACAGCCACCAGTCTTTGCCACAGCCCAGGTCTTGGGCTTCCCCATTAGCAGTCCGTGGAGAGGGACTGGGCGTGAGCAAGACCAGGCCCCGCAGTGTCCTGCAGACATGCTGCAGGGCCTGGCCCCACCTGCAGCACCTTCAGCTAAGACAGTGGGGAAGAATGGGAGCAGGAAGGGGGGTCAGTGCTAGCTGCAGGTCTGCTTGACTTCAGCCTATTGCCAGATCCCTTTCTCTTCAAATTGCTGCTCACGTCTGCAAGGCAGAGGGGGCTAAATGTGGGGAGGAATCCATCCTATTACCTGTGTCCCACAGGGGTCGTTTGTCTGCGTGGAAGGATACTGGGAACGGGCTGGTGTTGGTGACTTTGATGACATGGGTCCGTATGGTACCCAGGATGATGTAGCCAAAGTCCAGTATGTATTCAGGTAGCTGTGCTCTGGAAAAGCAATGCTGCTTTGTTATATATACACACCTGATACGCAGCTGCGCGTGCCATGAGCTACACCGCACAAGTAGATTTTGTTTCAGTTCTGTGTCACTTACTCCTGAATGCTCAGGCACTTCTGGGGGGGGAGCAAGTGGAAAGTCACCTTCTCCTCTGTTTCTGCCACAGAAGTGAGGAAGGAATGCCCCTTCTTGGGATACTGCATGTGGCAATGTCCCCAAGAGCTGGGTCAGGCACTGCTCGCATCCCTGGGCACCAGCAGTGGCCAAAAAGGCTGCACACGGCACCACCCCTCCCCAGAGGCAGGATAAATCAGGGGCGCTCACTTGACCAGCTTCCGGAGAGCTCGCTGACTGGCCCCAGAGTCCTCTGTTGACTCAAAGCCAAGCAGCTTCTGTTGCTCCAGGGCGTGCTCCTGAACAAGCAGCCTCTCCAGTTCCATCAGCAGCTGGGTGTCGAACTGAAGGACACAAGGCAAGGCACACGCCTCTGGGTCCTGCTCTGCCACCAGAGCCAGGGGGCCACCCCACACTGCCCCTGCCCCTGCCTCCTGAGCATCCACTCAGCCTGGCCGAAGACCCACTGCTGCCTGCCTGCAAAGGCTCCCTGCTCAGGGGTCGTCCCTTGGCAGGCCTGCTGCCTGGGGCAATGGCAAACGCACAAGGGCAGCTTCTTGTGGGTCCAGCCCTGGGGCAGGTGGTGCAGGAGGCACCAAAGAGCCCATCTGGCCCGAACTGCTGCCCCATGGAAGCCTGTGACGATCCGGCTCTCCTGCCTTCAGTGTGCCGTGCCCAGCCCAGCGTCAACCAAGGAAGCTTTCAGTCTTACTGCAGTGACAGATTCATCCACGAATGGTTCAGTGGCCACCGCCTCGGAGTTACTGGTGGAATCTTTCTGGGATTCCTGTTCCATGCGCTCCTTTACCTCTCTGAGGAGGGTGCTGTACCTCTCATTTCCTGCAGAACGCACAAACGGGACAGGAGCAGGATGCCAGGAAACAAGCGGCTCTTTTGGTAGGGATTGGGCCTCTCTTCGACTACAAGGACATTGAGTTTGACACAGGTGCAGAGGAGGAGGGATTCGAATCTGCAGCCGAAATGCCAAGGTTGGTGGACCCAGAAATAAGCTGGGCAGTTGCTGAACAGCAGATGGCTTCAAATTCTGAGGGAAAGCTTTTTTAGCAGGCTCATGTGACAGGAAAGAGCTGGAGTTGTGAAACCCGGGGCGCGGGGCATGGCGTCAGAAGGGACAGATGCCACAACCAACTGGCCTGGCCACTGAGGAGAAGGCTCTGTCCTGAAGACATGGTTCGCTCTTTCAGCTGGGAATCAACTTCCTGCCCTTAAGCTGCCTGCCCTCGTGGGCCATATTCTGCCATCTGTGGGTCTTCCACTTGCCTCATGTGGAAAAGGAAGGATGATGGAACAAGCTGCCCCTACCTTTCAAGTTTCTAGGTAGATCCAGGCAGATTCTGGGGAAGATTCCCTCTCCTTTCAGAGTGATGCTGTCTGGTTCCAGGTGGGCCACCTGGATCTGGAAGGTTCTTTGGAAGACCTCAGGTATGCCAGGCAAGTAATAGACCTTCAGCACCTGCTCCTTCCCTGATTCAATATGACTCTAGAAGATGCAAGTGGCAAAAGGCTGATCAGGCAAAACCATTTCCTGCCTAAAACGGTATCAGGATATGGAAGGACAAAGAATTGTGCTGAATCACACACTTCTGGCTCACATGAGGCCCTCTGGACTGGGCCAGGGATGGAACTTGATTCCCACCCCCCACCCCCACCCCAGGCTGAAGAACTGTGCCCAAGACTTTTTCCTTGTGTTGAGCAGAGACTTGGATTAGTAAGAAGCATGATGCTAGCCAGACATGGGGATGACCACGTGCTTACAAAAACAACAATATTCTGTTTCATCCTTGAACATACTGAAGAATTTGAGCTTCCAAAGAAATCCCAAAGCAAGGACTAAGTGCAAAGATAGGGTGGTCTGAGTATTAGGTATGTGCTCAGACAAGGAACATCAAAGCTCCTTGTTGCAAAATGGCTTAAAAAACGGGATTGGGGTAAAAGGTCTGCAGCACTCTGAGCTCCTTGAAGGGGAGGGGGCAGAACTGTAATAAAGAAGCATTTCTCATCTGACTACTGGAAGTCCTGCTTAGTCTTTCTTAAGTCAGGCTATTTCGAGTGTCCCCAAAGCCATGAGCCCTGGACACCTGCATGAGCTCAAGCCTGAGTCGCCGCAGAAGCTTCCAGGCATGGTATCCAGACCACTCATTCTGCTCCTTTCAGCCCCAGGTAAAGAACTTATTTTCCCAAGCATTTGAGTCAGTTAACTTTGGTTGTTTTAAACCTACTATTGTGTTTTAAGTATTTGCACTACTGCTAGGTTTTATTTGGTTATTATTTTAAACTTACATTGCAGCTTTAAACTTTTGCATTGCACGTGATTATATATTTTATGGCTTTAACTGCTGTGAACTGCCCAGAGTGCTTCAGCTATTGGGCAGTATCAAAATGCAATAAATAAGCAAAAACCAGAGTGCACTTGGGCTGCCAGGCAGGCTCCAGGTGACCACAGACTGCATGGACTCCTAGCTATGAAGTCAGAAAACTGTTCTGACTTGGTAGCTCAGATTCTGCCCCCACCGCCACCACCACTGGTGCAGAAAGAATTGCACTCGCCATGTCTCTGAGGTCAGGCCAGTGCCCTGGAGAAGGGCTCCTGGGGCGCAGGCAGTGAAGGGCAGGGGACTGGCACCACCATGATAGGAAGCGTCTTGCCAGTGCTTCAGCCTGCTTCCCCTCCCACTTAAGATGGCTGAAACTGGCCACCTAAAGGCTTTGCAGGGGGAATCCTGTAACCCTGTATCCTCCCAGTTCACAGGGCCACAGGCTTCCCCACAGGGCTGTGCCCATTTTTTTTTTTTAACAAGCTTAGGTGGGCTGGCAAAATTCGCCCTGCCGAGGTACAACCATCCTTTTCAAACAATAATCTGAGCAGCAGGCCCCTTCCCATGACAAGTGCGGAAACAGCAACGGCAGCCTATTAGCTGGCAATTACCCAGCCATATGCTAACAGTTATGGAACCCGAGGGAGGCATTTGAGTGCCCCAGCACCTCCTTAAGGTCAAAGAACTCATGGTTTTCTTTCTGGGAAAGGGTTTTGGGGCAGTGTAGGAGAGAGCAAAGGAAACATCAAATTGATGGAAATGAACTGTGTGTTTAGGTGTGATGGATCCATCACCGGACCTTTCTTGGCTTGAACCAGAAGCATGCCAGGGTAATGTCAGTCGCAGCTGAACCTGAACTGAGTCTGGAGTCTGTTTTACTCAATGTTTGACTTCCTGCTGGACAGGGAAGATCTGCCTGTACCGCTGGTGAACCTCCTCATACATCCAGCCACTAAACAAACCCCCAAACACACATACCTGCCCTTGGCCTCTGGAGGGACTGTGGCCAGCCCTGTGCTGAGGGAGAAGCCAGCTTGATTCTGCAGAACCAGGAAGCCCCCTGAAGCAAGTTACAGAAGAGGCCCACCCACCCATGGAGAGCTTCACCGCTGTGCTACAGCACGAGCCTAGGAGTGCCCACAGGACCCATGGAGCTCAGTGCGGCATGCTCCCGCCAGTGGGCACAGGACTGCAGCCCCAGGCCCCACACGCACGAGCACGGGGAGCGAGCGGGAGCTCCCATCAGTCTGTGTGTCTGTGAGATGACCGTGAGTCCCCCCAAAGGAGCACTCTTTCCTGGAGGCCAACAGGGGCCTTGCAAAGAGCCGGCAAAGGAGGGAGAAAAGCCAGCTGAGGGGGCTCCCCAGCAGCCCTTCTCTCTCTTGCAAAGAAGCCCTGCAAAGGTTGGTGGCATCCATGTCTGATGTCCTCCGGAGTCTAAGGGCATGCTGACAACAACTGGCCTGGCTTTGCACATTCTGAGGAGAGCACAGCTAAAAGTGCAGTAAGGAGAGGATCTCAAGGACACCGCCGGCTGGCCGCCTTCTGTTCTTACTCACAGCAGCAGGCCGAGTCAGTGGCACGCCAGGTGGAGGGTTCTCGGCCGCAAGCAGGACGCTGTTGAGAACAGAGTACTCAAATCTGACTTTTCCCGTGTTCCTCAGTGTGATCTCAGCCATGCAGATCTGATCAAAAGGCTGTGAGAGGGAGACGAGGGTGAGGACAGCATGAAACTGCAGAGGTTTCCTTTCCTACGTACCTGGGTAATGCGCTGGCTCCCCCCCCGCCCCCGATCTGCATGGCAGGTGAGCATGTGACTGATGCAGCACCAGAGCACACAAGCCGGGAGCACTGGTTGCCTTTCCCCCCCGGTGGTTGACTGCCCGGGGTCTCCTGGCTTTTGGGCAGCCGCGGCCCAGTTACTGTCAAAAGAGCGGCAGCAGGCCTTCACCCCAGCATCGGTCCCACCCCTGCCCTCCGGCCCCCACCCACCATCGGGATGCAGCCCCCAGAGCTCTGGCCCTTCAGAAGAAGGCGGTCCTGCACCCCTGGGCGACAGCCACGTTCTTCACATAGTCAACCAGCCACGTACGAAACAGGACTCTGTTGCTCAGGGAGGAAGGGCTCCAGTGGCGCTATCTGCACAAGGAGCCCGTCAGCGAGTCAACTGCTAGGATGGGCTCTCCGGCTATTCTGCATCGCCTGGGGCAAGGCAGGGGGCGCAAGGGAAGAGACGCGGCGAAAGGGCCAAGAGCAGGACGTACCTGGATGTGCCGGCTGTGGGACGTACCTGGAGTCCATAGTCAATCTCCGTCTTGTTGAACGCGTAACTCACAAGCGAGGCCTCACCGCTCAGCAAGATTCCATAGGTGGGCCCACCTTCCACTTCGCAGAGCGCCTTCACGCGGGCAACCATGTCCGCGTGGCCATAGAAGGTAAAGGACACCGGCTGGGTCTCACTGGGCTGCAGTGCCCCATACAGCGGCATGATGTCGAACACCTGGTCAGGAGGAGGCAGGGAGACGCTGCACGCCTGCAGGTACAGGATGCTTCCCCCAGAGCCTTGGCCCAGGGAACAGCAGCATCACTGCCTGCCCCAGGGGCCAACGGGGCGGACGGGGCAAGGAGCCTTGCACGGGCTCTCCCAAAAAGAAGGAACTGCCTTCCTCTTCCTCAGCCAGCGTCTCTGCTACTAGGATGACTGCCAGCTGGATCCTGCTTCCAGAGTTGGTCCATCCGAGGGCACAACCAGGGGCCAGGGGCTGAAACCAGCAGCATCCCTGAGGTGTGGCTTGTGCTTGTTGGGCTGGCTCTGGTCTTCAGCCCAGAGGCCCACTCCTGCTTGCTTTGGGGGCAGAGCTGGCCTTCCCCCCAGAGGCGAGCCCGGGAGAGCTGGGCTGGGGTAGCACTCCTGGTTCTGCCCCTCTCGCGCTTCAGGTGAATCCCCACGGGGCTGCTGCTCACTTCCTCTACGCCTCTGAGCTGGTGCTCCTCTGGTTCGACACCCCACAGCACTTCCTTGGTCACCGCCTGAGTCATCTTCGGAAGCTCCTCTTCGGCTTCACCACCAGCTGGCAGTGCAGACTAGAGAAAAGGGCAGTGGGCACAGAGCACAACTGTCGCGCTGAGGCCAGGCAGAGGCAGGAGGGCTTCCCGAACTATCAGGCAGAAGCCCCCCATCCCCCCGCACAGGCACACGCCCACACAACTTCTCTGTCTTTTCTGCCTTTACTGATTTGCAGGGTAAGGAAAAGAACAGGCTCCCCAGTGGGCAGGACGGGAGAACTTCACGGGGCTGGTGAGGGTGTCTGGATGCCCCACAGAATTCTGCAAACAAGGCAGGGCCATGGTAGCACAAAACATCATCCACTCATCCAAAAACCGCCCAATTTGAATGGGCAAAAGAGGCTGTGGAGTCTCTTGATGACTATTGAGGTTTCCAGAGAGGGGCTGGGCAGGGCACCTCATGACACTCTGCTGGTGTTCTTTTTAAGCTAGATTAATCGGTTGTTGCTTGAGAAAAAAGCCATCATGACTAGAGTGCCAGAGCTCTGTGTTGAAGTGTGTGACAGTGAGCAGCCTTAAAACACTGGGCTGTCTCGCCAAGCTGAGAGCAAATGCCAAGGACAGACAGTAAGCAAAGCTGCATGCTCGCCCGGCAATTCCCTCTCCTCCTCCTCCTCCTCTCATTGTACTCATATCTCATCTTTTTGCTCCTGTGAGGAACCCAAGGCAGCTCACACGGCTGTATTGTCTTGACAACAACAGCCCTGTGAGGCAGGCTGGCAAGCCAGAGCAAGGCATCAGGAGGAACACGCTCAGCAGTGCTTCTCAGCACCCTCCATTCGCATCAGGGGCCTTGTCCAAGACAACCAACAAGCTCTCTCGCTCGCTCGCTCGCTCGCTCTTCTGCTGATGCCAGAGTTTAGCATTCTTTATCAGGTGGCAGCTAAAGCTCAGGCAAGACGGGGCACCTGAAGAATATACGCAAGCACTGTTACCGTTGCTTCTGAGCCATTTCTTGCAGCATCCGAAGGGTCTTTAAGGGAAGTCTCTTCTTCACTTGCATCTTTCATGCTTTCCTCAGCAGCTGCTTCTCTAATATCATAATATTGGGGCAGAAATGCAAAGTTCGCATTAAAAGAGGAGGCACTCTGTTGGCTGCCACAAGGAGGTGCAGAGCCCATGCCCCTGCTCTGGCCGAACGGCCCCATCCGCTGCCTCCCTCCCGAAGCTCTTGCCACTGCAGCTGGGAGCAACAGGAAGTCTGCCACTGCAAGCACTCAGCCAGATCTCACCTGGCCCCGTTAGTTAAGATCTCATTGGAGCAGCCCTGCTATAGCCACATCCCACAGGCCTCGCTTACGGCAGACACAGCAAGACTAACTACGCTGCGGGACGGAAGCTATTTTGGTCAGCTACCATGTGCAAAATTTTCATTTCTCATTTTTTAAATTCCAAGAAAGCTTACAAAAACAAATTGTGTAGCAATAAGTTCCCTTCTGTGAGGCTGGGCAGAACAAGGCCTTCCCGCATTCCTGCTGCCACAGGCAGCACCGCAGCCGGAGCCCAAGTGGTATGCGCTGGGGGTAGCCCTCAGCCCCCCTGGCTGGCCATCAGGTCCTCCTGGACAGGAGGGGACGCAAAGGGGCAGCCGCGAGGGGTGGGCTTCTGAATGGCCCTTTTCCTCAGCGAGGACAGGTGCCTGGCCCAAGAGCAGCTGCCCGTTGGACAAGCGCAGGGCAGCGGTGCTCCTGCGCCTCCTGGGCTCAGCGCAGGCCAGGCACACCTTCAGGCTGCAGCAGCCAGGGCACTAAGGAAGAGAGCAAGTGCCAGCATGGGGGACACGAGCAGTTCCACTCAAGGGGTGAAAAGGACCCGGCCAGCCGTTTGTTCTTCCCAGGCCCCACTGCCTATGCCACCCACCCCTCCCTTTTCTAATTGGCACAATCGGTTTTGTGAATGCCCCCTGCTGCAGAGGGCATCCATACAAGTTCCGCCCACGCCGGTGGACCGCAGAAGAGTGACGGTGCAGCTCTTCTTCTCTCTGCAGAGGCAGAGAAGCTGCTTCATACACACCTCACAGAATATTTGCGTCCATCTGTGGGTGCTTGCGGTGGCTGCACCAGCTCCTGCTCTTTTGCGGTGTCCAGTTCAGTGGGATGTTTGGCTTCTCTTGGGCTGACCCTGCAAAAACCCAGTGTCGTTTTGTAAGGGTAAAGGCCAAAGCTGTCTCTGATGAGGCGCTTCATGTTTCCTTTTCCCCCAAAGAAGTATGGAAGGGCAATCTGCAGGGAGAGGTGAACATGGAGAAAGGGGAGAACAACCCCTCATGCCTCTTGCTTCACTTCAGGCAGCCAAGATCCCACGGAAAGTTTCTCCAAACCAGTGTCAATTGGAAGACCAGGCAGAACAAGCCAAGATAAGAAAAATGGAAGAGCTGATGTAGAGCCTTGCTGGCTCAGACCGGCGTCTGTCTAGTCCCATGTTCTGTTCCCACAGTGGCCAACCAGCTGCCCATAAGAAAGCTGCAGTTGGTAGGGACCAGAACCTGCATCTCCCAGGTCCCCAGCCCAACTCCGGCCACCATACCCCTCTGGCTTGGAAGACCTTCTGTCCAGTCCGCTCAATTTTGCCTAATTTTCAACATGTAAACAAATCTCATTCCTCCTTCCAGATTATGAGGGTGTTTTGCTCTCGGCATCACTGCATTTTAATTGTGTTTCTCTGTTTTTATGCAAGCCGTTCTTTACCCAGCAGGCTAAGGGCACATGGCAAAGGCATGGCTGGAGCACTGGACAGCGCTGGGCCCAGCAGATCAGTTCTCTGAATCCTGGAACAGTAGGTCTGGAAGGGCCAGGGGGCCATCAGGTCCAACCCCCTGCTCAGTGCAGGACACCAGTGAAGCCGCCCCCCTCTGATGGCTGTCCAGCTGCATCCTGCATGCCCCCCGTGTGGGGGAGCCCACCACCTCCCCCGGCGTTGGGTCCACTGCTGTCCTGCTCTAACAGACAGGAAGTTCTTCCTGATGTTCAGCCGGAACCTGGCTTCCTGTAACTGGAGCCTGTTATTCCATGTCCGGCACTCAGGGATGATCGGGAAGAGGTCCTGGCCTTCCTTTTTGTGAGAGCCTTTCAAGGACCTGCAGACTGTTATGAGATCTGCTGTCATATTCCTGGGTCAGGAACCCCTCATCTTCAGCATCACCCTACCCTGAATGCAGTGTACCTCAGGGCCACTGGAGCTCACCTGCTTTCTCTTGCCATCTCCCAGCAGCCTCTCTAAAGGGACTGGGAGCAAAGGGAAGCTGCCGCCAGGACTGGCTGGCAGCGCCTCCTGCTCAGGGCTCCCTGGGGGTGCAGTGAACCAGCTTTCTGGTTCTTTTGCTTGCTGGGCCCTCTCGCTCCCTGAAATCCTGCCTCACCTGCTTTTTTGGCCCCCGTCTGGCTCAAAAGCCTTGGGCACCATTGCAACAGCTTTGCTGCTCTTCTACTCAGCAAAACCTACCGTCTGCGCTGAGGCCCCCAAAAGGGCTCAGGGATGCAAGGGATGCAAGATACCTTTCTGTTTTGGGCCCAGACATCAAAGCTGCACCAGGTTTGCTAAAATACATCTAATGCAGTACCATTAGGCTGGAAGGAGACACGCAGAGATGCTAGCAACAAAGAAAGAAGGCACTAGAAATATATTTTGTGGGAAAGAGCACAGAAAATACCAACATGGTTCCTGCAGCTATACGCGAAAATGCCAAGGAGGAAGGACGGATGGACAGATGGGCTGCATATGGCCACAGAAATCTCACCAGACCGGCACAAGAACAAACAGGGTTTGTTGTGACGCCTACTGATGGGACAGGCCTGGCCAGCCAGGGCAAACCAGCCACAACATCTGAAATCAAAGACTCACCTACAGCCAATAAAATTCAACCCATCAGCATCATGCACCCTTCCATCCTGCCACTTTTCTGGATGACGTAGAGAGAATTACATCACTTTAATCCAATGCCTGGGGTCAGGAGTACTTCACTGTGGTGATCCCAGTTCGGCTTGGATCACAAGAAAGATCCAAGCCTTTTAAAGAGGGCTGGACAGATGCTGGAGCAGAACACCTGCAGGTGCAAAGTGCTGGAAACTTTTGTGTCGTCTGTTTTTCAAAGTTACGTTTCAGGATATTCCTCAAAGGAATACACTCTTCCGGGCTTCTTTGCCTCCTCGTAAAATGCAGCATAGTGATCCCCCAGAGCCATCCTCAGTGCCAGGCTTATGGAATGTGCCTCACGGAGGTCATTTAGTGGACTACAAGGTGGCATTTCTCTGCTTTGCCCCATGGCCCTCCCTCCCTTTAGCAAGAATGGCATCCATGTAGGCGCTGCAAAACGGGAATCATTCCAGCCAGAGTAATTTAGGCAACAGAAGGGAGTATTTTCATGTATACACTCCCAAAGGGGAAAAATGAAAGGTTAAGACTGAATAATTAGATGAACACCATAAAAGTCACTGCCCTAATTATAAGGTCCAGAAATAAAACAAAATAAATTGCATTCCTCACCCCTAGCCGAAAAACAGATGTTAATCTGAATGACAATCAGTTGCTGTGGTGAAAGGCACAGAGTGGACAGAATGGCTGTGACCTGGTTTTCCGCTACTAAACTGTCAGGCTGCATTAGCTGGATGTAATTATTTGAGACCCACATGATGGTATCAGAACAGAAATATCATCTGACAAGCAATGCTTTTCTCTGGCCTTTTAATGACTGGGCAGAATGTGTGGAGGCCCAGCTCTGCTCCGGAGAGTCAGGTGATGCTGCTCAAAGACCCAGAGAAGCAGTACAGCCGGCTAATTAGCATGCACAGAAATGGAACCGGAGACCAGGCCAGGTTCAGCATCGCGTCCCCATCGGCAGGCTAACGAGGAGCCCTACTGAACGAAGGGTCTACCCCGGGAAGCAATGGCGAGGCTCCGTCGAGGCTCCATCTGACAGAGACGCCTGGCCCTGCCCTGAGTCAGGCCCCTTCATGCGGGCACTCCTCAAGGGCCCCCTGCCCAACAGGTCTTTCACTGGGCCAGCATTTCCTCTCCTGGGGAAATTGCTTATTGACGTTCTTCAGAATGGCAGCCCGTCAATGCAGTGGTTATGAGTTGAGCTTCCTGCGGCACTGTGGAAAATCCGTTTGCGGCTGTGATTAAAATAACTCCATGAGGTCAATTTTGGGAAAGTTGTAGCTCTAGAAGCGTATCTGTGGGCACTTTTACTGAAACCACTTCCATTCCCCGTCTTTTCCCCAGCCTGCTTCCCCCTCTCCTGTTTTTAGAATTAAACTTTATAAAGCTACTGAGCAAAGTTCCACAGTGCTGAGGACCAATGGTGGGGGGAGGGGGAGGTGCTGAGCAAGCCGGCACAACCGTGCAACCCATCAGGGAATATGGCACTGAGCACATGACTCTCTATCCACTCGGGAGGGGAGGCGGATCAGATCAGCTCAGCTCAGTTCTTCCAGGCACCCATATAACAGCAAGAGCAATTAACGCACAGTACTGCATGAGCCGCCCAACACGATACACCTGGCCTTTATAGCCAGACATTCGTGCATCCTGGAACTGAAGACGGTGCATAAACAGCTTCCGGGTGGTCTCCCACCCAGGCTCTGAGCTGATCTGCCAGGTGCCTCCGTCGTGTGCTCTCAAACCGCATCCTGCAAATCAGTTAGAAAGATCAGGGAATGTGGCTAAGAAAGGATGTACTGCCGCACTTACCTGATGAAGGATTCGTGATCATCTGTCAGGAAGGACCAGCGGTACTTGACCAAAAGGGGGCTGCAGTTGGTCATGCTGATGTCCTTCACAATTTCCGTATCATTCAAGATGCAGCCAAAATTCAAATCCATCGTCTGGAAGTGGAGGTTAGGGAAATGCACTTCCCCACAGAGGTGGATGTGGTCCACCTGGGGATGCTCCAGGTAACGGATTGTCAGAACTTCCTCTGCTACTCGACTATACAGGTCATCTCTATAGAGGGGGTCAAACCGGATGTAGAGATGATGTATCTCTCCAACGTCCATCGTTAAGGGCTGAATTGAGAAAGAAGTCGATTGAAAAGTTCACGGATGTGTACTGTTCTCTCACTGCAGTTCTTTGAGAAAGACTTGGGTATCTCTAGGCACTGGGGACTGTTCCCTGTTGTCTACAACTGAACTCATTACAAACAGCACCTTGAACTCTATCCAAAAGTCACAAAGAGCATGCATAAATGAAAGGACTCATGCGCAGAGAGAATTCTCATACCTCACTGGGGGCTGGCAGCATTTCATGATTGGTGTCACAGAGAGCAAAGGGTTCTTGTAAAGTGAGAATGATGTTAAGTGGCAAAGAGGAAACGTTCTTCAAAGTCAGAGGTTCATATTGTGCAGTTAAGACATCACTGGGATTCTGTGGGGGAAAGCAAGAAGAATGAAAGAGATGCAAATGAACAGGGGGAAAACATGTATCCCAGTACACGATGCAGGGTTCCACAAGGGGTCTCTATCCATCTTCTGCTGCTTACCAGGCCTGTCCATGTTCCATGGTAAGCAACAACACACGGCCACCCGCACGTTCACAGATTCAGAGGAACCCATGGGGCTGCTGGGTGACATGCTCCTTTAGGCTCTGCCCTTGGACGCATGAACTTTGCCTCTGGAGCTCAGCACAGCATGTCCTGGGCTCTTTTTGCTCTCTCTGCTCTTGCCCCACCTCACCTCTCACATGCCTCCTGCCTGCTGGCACCCACATGTGATTGCTGGGTCTAAGCAGATGCCAAATCTCTAGTCAGGCTGATTTATAAAACTACCCTGACGCATTCAGAGTGCAACCCCATGCATGTTTACTCAGCAGGAAGGCCAGCTGTGTTCAGGGGTGCTCACTCCCCAGCAAACGCATGCAGGAGCACAGCCCCAGAAGCTCAACCTTACACATCTAAAATATCTCGCAGTTTAAAACTATCCATTTGAACACTTTGCGGGGGGAGCCCCACGGGTGACGGGCAGCCCCCCACCATGCTCCATGCAGTCTGTGTGACCCTGGAGGTGCCCTGCTCTTTTCCCCGCAGCCGAACTGCAGGAGAAGACGCCTGTTCCAGCACTGCCATGGCCTGCTCCATAACGCCTTATAAGCCGCTATAAGGACGATTTTCCAGTCTTCTAGTATCCAGATTGATCTTAGGAACATGCTACGTATTTCTGTGGGAAGATCAGTAATCAGTGCTGATGCTGCATTCCTGGTAAGTCCCTCCCACTCATGCTAGCTGAGAACGATGGGAGTTGCAGTCCGACACATCTGGAGGGCACTAGACTGAGGAAGACCGCATCAGAGTTTACACACCTTCTGTCAACATCAAAACCTTCCGCAACTATATTTCCATGCATTTCCTTATAAACTGGAATGCCTGGGGCTGCTCTGAGCTGGAATGTGGATCTTGCGCTTTCAGTCTGAACACACACCTCTGCCTCCCCTCAGACACACGCACACTCCATACAGCAAACATCAGGTTGGTATCCCTTGGTGACATGCCAACCAGCCCCCTTAGCCCAAAGAACCACTCACCTTCTGCACGCAGAAAGTGATCTTTCTGGAGGAGATCTGCAGGACAGGTGCAATGAACTCACAGGTGACGTCCACCTTCATGATGCACTCCTTTCCGGACTGCTTGCCTATGATGGCATGGCACACCAGCCTCTCCTTTACCACCTGCACAAGCAAAGGCCAAAGGCTTGCACGAGGGCATCGGGAGGGCTGTGCCAGAGCAGACCTTCGAAGGAGGTGGGCATCACGGCAGCCTCCTGGCCGTGCTCCCCAGCTGCTGGTGTACAGGAGCACAAAGCCTCCGATGCTGGAAGTGGCATCCAGCCATCAGCAGTCATGCACAGCCTTCTTCTCTAGGAACGGGTCCAAGCATGACATCTCATGGAAGCTCTCAGCTTTTCTAAGCTCAGTATCAGCTGCTGTAACTTTTCCTGACAGTGGAGCTGCTTCGGCCCCTCCATCATTTTAGCTGCCCTTCTCTGCCCTTTTTCCAAACCTCCAACGTCCTTTCTTAGGAGTGGTGACCAGAACTGGAACAAGCATTCTAAGTACGGTCGCAGGGCAGGGTGATCCTGGTGGCTTGTTAAGAACCTGCCATGAGAAGTCCTGCAAGTTCTTGTTTGCTGTAGATTATGTATCTTCATGGCCAATAGCCCAGGGCTGCCAGAGGGCTTGGACTGTTCCTGCCTCTCGGATGATGCCATGGTCAGAACTATGCAGCTGGAGGAAGCCTGGGTCGTGAAATCTGCACATCTGTTACTCTGGGCTTACTCATGAAACTCTCCTTGACTCATGGGTGTGATAGCCATTTAGAACCGAGGGTCCAAGGATGCTTTCAAGGTTGGACTACAGCACAGTACGGGGTGGGCTTGCTCAGGCCTCTTTCTAGAACCATGTGTCTGATTGGGAAGGATGGCTTACATGAAGAGTAATGCAAACCCTTGCCCTGTATTCTGAGCTGCAAAGATTACAGCAGGGAAACGGAACCGGCTGGATCTCTGCCATGGCTATCATTGCTAGCTCTGGAGCATGGAGGAATTGTTAAGACTGTTGCTGGTTGTCACCAGCTACATGATTGCCGAACAGCACGACTATCAAGCTCTTACCAAGGGCTTTGCTACTGCCAAAGAGTCTCACTGAGTTGGTATGCACTGTGTCAGAGGGCCCAAGTACGTGTTTGAAGGACTGAGTCCATGGCAGCTCTGGAGAGCCACACTGGAGAGCTGTGCTCTGGCACTGCCGGCAGGGCCAAAAGCAAGCGCTGCCTGCACCCCCTGCTCCCAAATCAGACCAGCAGGCAAGAAGAGACCATGTCTTCTTGGGGCCGCTTAAGTGGTAACCAACTGTCCCAAAAGGTTCATTCTCAGCCACCAATTTAATTATTTTCCCTTCTAAATGTGGATGGTGGAATGACAATGACATCATCTCCCCACTGCCTGAGGCAAAGCATCAGTTTGGGTCCTCATTACCTTCTGAGGACCCCAGGAAGAAGTCAGGGACTGAGCCCACTCAAGGATTCCCTGCCACTCTGCTGCTTGAATGGTATTTTCCGAAAAACCATACAGTGGTGGTGGACCCTTAGCAGGAAGGGGGAAGTGCTGCTCATGCTACCATGGCAACTGGTGGAATTCCAGCAGTCCTCAAAAGAAGCCCCTTGTTTCCCAGAAAAAAGTATCCAAGAACTTGAAATGGCACCGAGAATGATCTTGAGGAAAGAAACCTGTCTCTGTACCTTGGGGATGTCAGAGGACCCTTCCAGGAACATGTCCATGCTCTTCCCGGGGGTCAGCTCCATCCTCAGCGGCTGAAGCTGGAACACGGGCACTGGGGTCTCTGCCTTCCTCTTCCTGCTGGTGCCCGTGGCGGGGAGGGCGTTGCGTGGGCGAAAGGCGGGGAAGCCTTCAGTCATCCAGTAGAGCTGGTGGGCACGACGCCCACAGTTGGTGATCCTGAAGCGATAGCAGCAGGGGTCCAAGCTAGGAAAGGAGCAGAGGCAAGCTCAGACGTGGCCCAGCACGGATCAGAGACCATGCCATTAAGGAACCCATATGCTGCCCTTCCATGTAAGGATTTCCAGGCAGCTTGCAAACTAAGACAGTGCAACAAAGAGAAGGCAACAAAAACCATGTGTAAAAGACCCACAGAGAAGAGCGGCATTAGCACGACACAGAGAAGACTGAGAGGACTAAGCAACCTGGGAAAGAGCAGGGCGCCGGGCCAGGCAAGCCTCCCTGGGCAGGCCATTCCATAAGGCATCCGCCAGTAATGACAGATGCCTTGCCCCATTCCAGGCGGTGGGGGTAAAGCATGGCAGACCCATGGCGGAACAGGCAACCCCTCAAGTCCCTCGCCATAAAGAGATGCGAAGGATCCCACTGCACCAGCGTGGAAGGCGTGTGCTGCAGTGCAGGTGCTCTTTTTCTGTGGCAGCTGCCCATGTCACCTGAAGTGGGGTCCCAGGTCAATGGCTGGAGCAAAGGGCTTGTCTGTGACGATGGTGGTGCCTGTGCCTGTGGCCTGGACAGGGATGATGTAGGAATTGCTGTTCTCTATCTCCAGGATGACGTCGTCTTGGAACAGCACGGTGTCGTCCAGGTGTGCTATCAGCGTGAGCGATATCTCTGCCTCGGGAGGGACGACGCCTTTGCTGGGCACAAGCCTCCACAGCGACTGAGCATGGGCCTGAAACACAGTCCAAGGGCGAGCCTCTGCGCCTCATCAAAAAGACAGAGGAATGCAACAAGGGAACTCAAGAGGCCGTTCTTAAAGGAAAGGCAGGTTGATCACCTGTAACTGTCATTCTTTGAGTGGCCGTCTGTGCATCCACACATACGGATGCTGCGCCGGTGCAGTGCCTGCAGCTGGGAAGATCTGAAAGCTTAACGGTTTTGGCAGGAACTCTGTGCCCCTCCCCCACATAGTGTAAGAAGGCGGAGTGCCAGCCATTTCCCCAGTCTACTGAAGACCGGCAGTTCACCCCCGAGCAGAAGCGAAAAGTATTTCACATCAAGTGTTTAAGACACACAAGGTAAGCATATGTATACATGAAGATACACTCTACGAATCCGTAACCAAGCGAAACACGGCACCGTAAAAACCCAGTCACCGACACCGAGTGGGGCCGGCAGGTGGGTTGTGTGAATGCACAGATGGCCACTCGAAGAACGACAGTTCCAGGTGAGCAACCTGCCTTTCTTCGTCGTGGCCTCGGTGCATCACACATATGGTGACTAGCAAGTTTACCAGACCCGAAGGTGGGACGGTGTCGTCAACGAGGAACAGAAGGGAGGACTGCTCCACCAAAGGAGCCATCCTGCCTGGCACACAGACCAAGGCGGTAATGTCTGGCCAATGCGCAAGGGGCAGTCCAAGTGGCCGCCGTGCAAACGTCGCGGAGCGGAACGCCAGCAGAGAAAGCGGAGGAAGCTGCAACGGCCCTCATGGAATGGCCTCTGGGCACGACGGGTAAGTCTAGTTTAGGGAGTTGATGGGCCAGTTCAATGGTCTGAACAATCCACTTCGAGAGCCTCTGGGACCTGATGGGGGACCCTTTGTCATGTTCGGAATCCTTGATGAAACGACATCTGGTATTACGAAAAGATTCTGTATGAGACCTGTAGAAGGCAAGGCACTGACGACCGTCAAGGGAGTGCAGCGAGCGCTCCACGGGCGTAGACGGAGCGGGAAAAAAGGCCGATAAGATAATGTCCTGATTGACATTGAAGGGTTACACGACCTTTGGAAGGAACGCAAGGTCAGTACGTAGAACAACCTTCTCCTTATGAAAACTGAGATAAGGAGGGTCTGTACGAAGCACGCAGAGTTCACTGGCCCTTCTAGCTGATGTGAGAGCAACAAGGAAGGCAGTCTTCCATGACAAGAGATGTAGGTTGGTAGTCGCCAAGGGCTTGAAAGGAGGTTTAGTGAGCACTTGAAGGACAACAGAGAGGCTCCATGTCGGGACGATTGATCTAACCAGTGGCTAGAGAATCTGTAAGCCTCTAAGCAATCGACAAATAAGGACATTAGAGAATACCGATGAGCCGGCCACCTGGCCACAGTAGTGAAATGGCAGTGATGCAAACTTTAATGGATGAAGATTTGAGTCCAGTCTGGTGAAAGGATAATAGAAATTGAAGAACATTCTCAGTAGAAGTTGAATGAGCAATAAAGTGGTTGGCTTCAGCAAAAGATGTAAAATGCTTCCAGTTAGCCACATACGAGCAACGAGTCATAGGTCTTAGCGCAGACTGGAGAATAAACTGAATATCAGGATGTAGAGTGCTTGAGTCCGATGGAGTATTCATCGGCATCAAGGAAGGATGAACAGCTGTGTCCAGACACCGCCAGGTTGGTGTCAGATTCGACAGTACCGTCGGTTCTGAGGGAGTAGCAGGACCTATTGAATGAGCCAGGCCGTCAGATTGAGCGAATGAAGGTCCGGGTGCCGTACTGCCCCGTTCTGCTGAGTTATGAGATGAGGTATGAGAGGCAGTTGCTAAAAGGTGTTGTCTGACAGATGGAGAATGGTAGGAAACCATGGTTGGCGAGGCCACCAGGGAGTCACGAGAATTCCCCGAGCCTCGTCAAGGGTGATCTTGGCAAGAGTTCTCGTAATGAGCGGTATCAGAGGGAACACATAAAAGAATGTGTTTGTCCATGGAATCATCAGAGTGTCCCCTCTCGAGCCAGGACTGATACCCGCTCGGGAGCAGTAGGCTTTGCAGACTGTATTCGCATGAGTGGCAAATAGGTCTATGTCTGGAGGGCCCCAAGTCAGAAAAAGGTGATGACAGACCTGATGATCCAACTCCCATTCGTGAGTCGTCGACATCTGTCTGCTAAGGGCATCTGCCTCCTCGTTGTCAGTACTGGCTAGGTGAACAGCAAGGAGGGTAATTTCCCTCGAAATGCACCAGTCCCAAAGTCTCAGCGCTAGATGAGCAAGGGAGGCAGACTTTGTTCCGCCCTGTTTGTTGATATAGAACACAGTCACAATGTTGTCGGAGGCCACTTGAATGACTTGGCCCCGAAGGGTAATCTCGAATGACCGAAGGGCTTTGAAGACTGCCAGAAGCTCCAGGCAGTTGATGTGTCCGGCAGCCTCGTGGTTGTTCCAAGTGCCCTGAGTGTGAAGACTGGCACACAGAGCTCCCCAACCCGTGAGGGAGGCATCGGTGAATAACCAATGCTGGATGAGGTGGACGGAACGGGATTCCGACAGACAGATTGCTTTGTATAGTCCATCATGACAGGGTCTGAAGAACGGAGACTGGGAGACGAGGTTGATGTGATGAATCTCATTGTGGGTGGAAGAGGCCGTTGAACCAGAGTTGGAGGGGCCTCATCCGTAGTCTGGCATATGAGACCACGGAGACCATGGAAGCCATGTGTCCAAGGAGCTTCTGTATAGACAGTGCTAGAACAGTTGTGTCCATGTGGATGAACAAATGGATGAACAAAGTTTCTCCTGTCGTCCTTGAGGGAGGAAGGCCCTCACAGTCGTGGAACTGAGACGGGCTCTGATGAAATCAATGATCTGTGAAGAAACAAGGCACAATTTTCCATAATTAATACATAGTCCCAAATCATCTAAAAGGGAGCATGTAGTCCAGATCGACGATCGAAGACCTTCTCAAGATGAGGAGACAATCAACCATTCGTCAAGGTAAGGGCATACTTGAATTCCCTGAAGCCAGAGGTGTGCACACACCGGGGCCATGCATTTGGTGAAGACCCGTGGAGCAGTAGCCAGTCCAAACGGTAAAACGTTTTATTCAAACAGGTTGGAACCGACCGTAAATTGAAGAAGTTGCTTGTGAGACAGCTGGATGCTAATAAACATCTTTTAAGTCCAAGGAAGTGAATCAATCCTCTCTCCTAAGCAACAGAAGGATGTTTTGAAGGGTGGTCATCCAGAAGTTTTTAGTTTTGATAAATCTGTTGAAGCCATGTAAGTTCAATACCGGGTGAAGACCACCATCCCGTTTCAGGACCATAAAATATCTCGAGTAACCCCTTGGAGCGTGAGAGCTGTCGATTCGCTCCTTTATGAAGAAGCTGTTGAACTTCGTCTTGACAACCAACAACGGAGACGTATATCGTATTGGTCCCTATGGGGTACGGTATCATACTCGATCCTATATCCGTGCTCCACAATGGATAAAACCCACTGATCAGATGTGATGGACTCCCAAATGGGGAGTCAACTTTGCAGCCGATCCCCAAAAGGAAGAGGGGAGTGTGGGTTCAGGAGAGAAGAAAAGGTTTGCTCAGCCCGTCAATGCTGGCGCTTATCAGAATCCAGGTGGCAACAGCTCTGCAGATAGTGTTGTGTTGGTTGTTTTTGGCGCTGCTGACAAGGTTGGAACTGCTGCCAGCCAGAGAACTGTGTGTATGGTTGATATCGGTAGGAGGGACGGGACCAGGACCACTTATGTCTGGATTGGTTAGGAACTTCCATGGTCTTATGAGCCGTCTTTATCTACCCTGTCCTTCTTAGGCTTCTTACGGTCCAAGGACTTGTCGGATCCGCTGTGCTTCCTCCTCTCCTTTTGTTTGTGAGGAGACTTAGAGGAGTGTTTGCCCTCCAGCAGAGTAGCACCATCAGCCGATGGGCGGGGCAGAGGGGCAGCCAAAGAGGAGGGATGCGCAGCGGATTGGGCCGCCAGTTGATCAGATGCGACCAAAGCCTGGTCCCAGAGAGGTTTGTGCAGGCGGTTCTCCCGTTCCTTTCACGCCTGCTTGGTGCAGGCCTGGCAATGGCCGCACTTATCAGTCCTGTGACCTTCTCCAAGGCAGAGAAGGCACAGGCCGTGAGGATCAGTGGAGGACATCTTGGCCGCACACTGAGCCATCAGATTGAAAAGGAGAAGATAGCGAAGTCAATAAATGCAAGAAGAGAATAAACTTTTGGGGGGGGAGGGAAAAAAGGGGGGATAAATAACGTGGACATCTTAACAAGAAAGCTAAGAGAACAGAGAGCAACGGTTCAAAGGGAATCAAGGTACAACAGTATAGCTATGGATTGAGAGGTGAAAGGCTCGAGGCACAGCAAACGGTGGTCGCAAGAAGACTTGGGAAATGGTGGGCACTCTGTCTTCTTATACTATGGGGGGAGGGGTGCGGAGTTCCCACCAAAACCGTTAAGCTTTCGAATCTTCCCGGCTACAGGAACTGCGCAGGCACAGCTCCTATAAGTGTGATGCACAGAGGCCACAACAAAGAACTGCCACTTCAGAAAGTATAACCACGTAATCCCCATCCCCTTGAAAAATGGTGCATGCCCATGGCTGCAAAGTGAGTCCCCTTAGCAGGTTTGTGTTCTGTGCAGCATCGTGCACACTGCAGGTGCTAAGTAAGCAGTGGGTCCATTATAATATTTCCGTGGGAATTACAACAGCCTAACCTAGCTAAAGGCTTGGAATGTTTCGGAAACAAGAGGGCTCCTTGCAGGGGTCAGACTCCTGCTGAACCAAGGGGAATTACTCTGATTGGACAGAACAAGCATGTCCCAGTGAGTCCCAGTCAATGGGGGCCATGGTAAAGAAGGCCTTGCACCAGGGGTATGATGATGGCATTATCCAAGATGGATTTTTCGGCCATCTGCTCCTGTTCCCATTGCTAAAATGCTAGTGTAAGCACTCCATATTGGCAAAGAAAAGCCTTTTCTGGGTCAAGGTAAGGCAGGTGATGATCCAGAGTCCCACTGGAGGCAGGGAAAAATAGCTGGCAGCCTGTTTGGCTCCAGGTCATTGAAACCAGAAAGATCTCGGCTTATCGCAGCAAGGAACTGGCCCCGTCCTGGTGTGCAAATGGGTCCATACCTCCCAAGGCAGGTGTAGAGCAATGATGGAATTGCTGCCTCTGGTCAAAAAGACCCAAGTGAAGAATGGCTGGCTGCCACCAATTCCTTAAAAGCAGAGTTCAGCGGCTTGCAGATAAACTGCTGAAGCGGCTCACGCAGCCTTTGACGCAGGCCTTGAGCACAAGATGGCCACTGCTGCCCTCAGGAAAACGACTCTGGAAAGCTTCAGTTGCATAATCATAACTGCCAGAGTAATCGGAGGACAAGAAGCACCCTAAATCTGAGAGGAGTAGGCAAGCCTTCCTCTCCCTCTTTGAAAATTGGGCTAATGGGTCTCCTACTGCGCTTAATCTTGAACCCAGGGCCATGGATCCCATTCGTCGAGCACTGCATCGAGACCCAGGCAGGGCAAAGTCCTGGTGAGAATTAAACAGCATCCTTTCCAAGTGAAAGCAAGTATGACACACACAGCATTCACCAGCCCTGGCATGTCTTGGCAGAGGGAAAGGTTTGATTTTGCAAGATCTGAAATCCTACAGAAAGGCAGGATTTTTTTTAAAAAAATGCTGAAAATCTGCTCAATGTGAGCATCTATAACCTCTGGGGCTTCCCCTGCAATTTAAATTTGAAAGAATTTAAAGACGCAGCTGTCCTGACCGCTACCACCCGTCACGCAGACAAGAAAATGCGCACCAGCCTGAACCTAGACCAAGGAGGAGGAGGAAAACAGCAGTCAGAATGAGTCAGAGCAAGTATATAATCACCTCTATGACTGCCAGAAGAAATCAGAAAAAAAAAGTGAGAAACCAAATCTCAAAAATGCCGAGGACACTGGTGTATGAGGCTTGGTAGCCTCCACAGTTCAGCAAACAAGGGGTGCGTTTTCCGAAACCTTGCACTTTGTGAACCTGTATAAGGGCAAGGCACACTAGCACAATCTAGCAATGCTTAACATGGTGCATGCTAATGGTCCTTCAGAAACTGAGAAAACAGCCAGTCTTAATGGGGTTACTGCCTTTAACAGCCATGGCAGAAACCCAGGTTCTTTTTCAAACTCAGTTCGCGAGTCTGAAAATATGTTTATGGAATGTAAATAGCCTGGGATATTGAGTTAAACAAAGCAGAATAGGGTCCTCCTTTTAAAAAAGAGGTGCCAGATATCATAAAGATACAACAATCCCATACAAAAAATGAGCCACTAATACCTGGAACACAAAGTGAGCAGAATACGGCTGCTGGCACTTCTAAGGTTAGAAGAGTGAGAATCTGGATTACTAATAAACATAGGTGCGTAAAGAAAGATCTGCTGGCTGAGCCAAACAGTGTGTTTAGTTTCATGGAAAGATTAATGCAAAATCTTGAAATAATCCTAGGACTGCTGCACAGCCGTCATCATGGCCAAAGGCAATTTGCACAGACAGGCACACTGGAGCTTGCGCAATTTGCAAAGGGCATTACATCCACAGGCGATTTAAATTGGATTAATGACAGGAGAGCTGACCTTAAGAAAAACATCAATAGGAGCAGACTCTAATTTAAATAATATATTAAACAAGGCTGACTTAACTGATGTCTGGTGAAACAAAAGCCCTCTCACAGGCATAATAAGTATGCCCAAACTGACTGCTTAACTCAGTTTAAAAAAACTAATGGGTCCAATTCTGTCCTCTCACACAGGCTCGCCATCTGACCAGGCTCCTGTCTTTGCCACCAATGCATCCTCCTTCAAAACCATGGAATTGGGGAAATTGCCCACCTGGAGAGTCCTACAGGACTGCCAGTGCGGCATAAGTTTAAGAAATAAACTAAACCCAAACTGCCACCCTTTCAGCACCAGGCTGAATTTTCCTCTACTCCTAGGCATGTGAAAAGGATTTTAAAAGCCAGTTGTTCTGCCAGGACACCAATATCTTACTGTAACATTTTCAAGCTGCCTCAAAATTTTGTATGATAACTCTCTGTGTGTGTTGTATTTCAGGGTCACTTTCTGTGAACCATCCAGAGAGGTTCAGCTATTGGAAATACATGGATGAATGAATGAGGCAATCTTCATTTGAGCGGTGGAATAAGGGGGAGTTAGTTTCTCCCACTTAAGCCCCTCACCCACATTTAGGTGATACAGCCCAAGCTGTGGCTACACTGAATGCTGGTCTTACTGTAGTAAAATACTACATACTAGTATTTTACTAGTAGCCTTTGTTTTTCAGGCTACAGACTTGCTTATCTTACATCCTCCTGCCAGAAATATTTGAGTTGAGATATTTGAGAAATATCAAAGTCCTTAGCTCTGAAGGACTGCACTCAAGGGTCTTTGGCCCAGGAGCAAGAGAGGTGTGCAAGATGGGCACGTGGCACCCACTCGCGTGGCCAGGTAGCAATCCAAAGCGAGCCTGACTTTTGTTCATCCTTGCACTGGTCCTCATTCCGTGGACTGGCCAGGATTGGAAACCGCCTCTCCACAAGTGGCCTGTTGTGGCACCACATGCACAGTCAGTCAGTCAGTCAGTCAGTCAGTCAGTCAGTCAGTCAGTGATATTTAATTTACTTTCTCAGTAAATTGCAGGACATCTCATCTCACCTCTTCTAGCTGGAGTTTATGTTTCTAGATCTGTACAATACCAACAGATACCTGCCTAGAAAGCCCAGGTTCTTGGTGAAATTGTGTTGCCGCTCCAAATGAGGGCTCATCTTCCTTGCCTGCTTCACTGGCTGCACAACTGCTCTTCTGGTTAAATGTCATCAGTAATTAAAAGAGGGGATGAGTGCTACTGAAATTGCTCAGCAGTGCACTCGGCAAGGAAGGAAGGCCGGCACAGCGGAGCACAGCTGCTAAGCACACAGCTGGAGACACGACTCCCACTTCACCCCGCCCCATTCTCACGCTTGCGGAACTTGGTAGTGTTGAAGTAACTCTGCCCAGACAACTAACAGTCTCAACAACCGATCTGAGGAAGGAACACAGGGATCCAGAGGAGGGAGACAGATTTCTAGTATAATATTCTTAAAAGATACACTTGACTAAACTGGAAGAAGGATACAGCAGTAATTCACATACTTTTGCTTTGCAGTCTTTCCAAGCACCATGGCTTGTTGTCATCTCCATATTACCCAAAAGGACTAAGGTTGATCCAAGACTGCCTGTGAGTTCATGGCTGAGCCAGGAACTTCCCATTATGTTGGCCTTCCCAGCCTGGGCCGCCCAGAGGTGCTGCACCGCAACAGCCATCATCCCCTGCAGAAATTATAGGGGTTGCAGCCCCGCACATGTGGAGGACATGTTTGGAGGAGGCAGGCGCTAGAATGTTTTTTCCTGTCCAAAGCGCTCTGCAGTCCTGCTCCAGCACTGTGTATTCCTCCCTTGCAACTGACTGGGAATGAGAATTAGCGAGGAGAGACCTCTCGCCCAAGCCAGGCCTCGCTGCATCACAGCCAGCGCCGCCGTGAGAGTCAGGGTGGTTTAGTGAGTGCTTAGGAAGCTGGACTGCGACAGCCTGGCCCAAGTTCCAGCTGTCCAGGAAGTCCACTGGGTGCCTTTTGTTGGGTCACCTGCTCTCAGCCCAGCCTATCTCACCGAGTGGTGCGGATAACATGGAGAAGGGAAAGAAGACTGTGTACACTGCCTTAGCTCCTTGGAGAAATATGGGATATAATTGTAACAAATAATCTAATCATCTTATCCCTGGACCACTCTTAGCACAAAGGGCTTTGATGGATTGTTTTGCTCCACTTACTAGAAAGCATAAATCACATTCCTACAGTTCAGTAACCACTTTGAAATTAACACATAACCGTAAATTTCAATAAAACCATCAAAAGAAAAAACCCTACAGAAATCCAAGTACAGTATACATAAATTTCAAGTGATACTTGTGAAATTGGCCACCACTCTAGCTCTGAGGGTGGAATATACAATTCGGATTCATTTTGAACGATCTACAGAAAACCATCCCCGACTAATGTTCTCAAAGGCCTTTTTGACATACCAAGAGGCCATGACAGCGACAGCCCCGCCTGTTCTAGCATACTTAAAGCCACCCCATCAGCAGTTCGCGTAAGATTGCCAGCCCGTCTCTACCTGCAACGAATCCCCCCGCTCTGCTCTAACAGCCTATTACAGTTAAAGGATCATCGCCACGTGTAGGAGGGGAAGTGGGGGGGTGAGGGAGAAAGGGACCACCATGGGATCCAACTGCTCCGCCTCACCGCAAGCAAGGAAAGGCTCCTGTCCAGGCACCTTAACTGCCCTGCAGGGCTGAGGGAGTGCCTGCTTTTCTCTCTGAGAAGAAATGGTTGACCCTCTGGTCCGAAGTGCTGCAACCTCCCCCCTAAACATCAGCTCCTGCTACTATTAGTGCCAACGGAGGCTTTTAGAAAACCTGACTGCTGCAGAGGGGGCATCTTCTGGAGGGGGCGGGCATGTCTGCTGCATGAGCCAGTTCAAAGTCACTTTGGTCCTCGGCCGGAAAACGTTCCCGCAGGCATCCAGAGGCCAAACAGCAGCACAGTTCCTGAGAACCCATCACATCGGCCCCCACAGTTAGGACTCGCTCTGCCCGGCGAGCCGCTTTCACTGTGAGACCACTCCAGGTCCTACTCACCATCTGTGCGTCAAATGGTGCGGGAATCACAGACTGATTGGAAAGGTAGAGCAACCTGGAGGAATCCTTTAAAACCTCAGTGCAGCCAAAATTGAGCTTATCAGGATACACATAAACCACAGGGCCCTCACCGATGGTCACCAGCCGAATCATCTGCCCCGGGAAATAACAGGAAGCAAACAAAGACAGAATGTCAGTACTGGACCGTGGGGGCTGGACGGGGCCTAGGATTGTTCTGAGGCAGGGTTCTCCAACCTGGTGCCCTCCAAACGCGTGGGACTACAGCTCAGAGGGCCTCAGCCAGCTTCAGGGTGGCTGCTGGGAAGGATACCTGGCACGCCCGCTCACAGCGCCTCTTCCCCACACATGCCACTGCGGCAGCGGCAACGGCTGGCCGCTGGGAAGGGCCCCTGGTGCACCCACTCGCAGCGCCCTTCTCCACATCCTGCAGCCACTCTTGCTGCGGAAGGCTGCCGACCGCGCAAGCCGGAGTCGTCGAACATTCTCAAGGACTCGCCCTGCCCTGGCTCACCTCGCAGGACTGGGCCAACACGAGCGGACGGCTGCAGAGGCCGACGGGGCAGCTGCCAATCCCGAGTTCATCCCAGCCCTCCCCAGACCAGTCTCGTCCAGTGCGCTCACCAGCGGGGAGTCTTGATTCCCAAACACGGCGATGTAGGCCACTGCCTCCTGTGAGCCCCTCTCCTGGACTTCTAGAGTCAAGGGTATCTCAATGGAGGAACGGGGCTCTATGATGCCGCAAGGCGCAGGACTGGAGTGCAGCACTGCAGGGAGCTTCCCGCGTTCCTGGATGAAGACAAGACATCACAGCCAGCGTTCAGAATGGCCTGCCAGGCGCGGCTCGCTTGCTCAGTGGTCGACGTCTTCAGAGAAATCTTCTTGTACCTGGGCACACTTTCAGGCCTCGATGACAATGCAGCACCTGAAGAAGCCACCCTCCCCTGCAGCACCATTTTCAGCTCGCTGACAGCAGAAGGGCTCAAGAGGAAAAGGTTCAGGCCACTTAAGCCAGATGTTAAACGGAGGTCAGCCTGGAGCCAAGACACCTTTCCTGCAGGTATCCAACCATTCAAAATGGAAGAGCAAGAACAGAACCCACCTGGGGGAGAACACCGTAGCAGCCGGGGAGATCACTGTCATTCACAAGCCTTGCCATCTGCTGGTACGGGAACTTGAGGAAACATCGTCCAAAATTCACGACGGGGTTCGCCACACGCAGTGCAGGACACACACATCTAGGCAGTTGAGGAAGCGAGTCAACCAAAGGCTGAGCTTATTTGTACTTCACTCACAGTTGGACGCCAGAGAAAAGCACACTTATCACTGGCAGGGGGAGGCTCACCAGACGCGAGACCGAGAGCCTCTGCGTGTCGGTTCCTGAAATTCCCCTCAGGGTGGGCGCGGGAAACACGGTCAAATGGAGACCCCCCCCCCCAACCGACACCAGCAAGTCCCCCAGGAGCAGAGAGCTGGGTTGCCTTGCAGGATGGGCTTGCTGAGCATGTGCGTGCAGGAGGGCCCCTGCGGAGGAGGCCCACCTGCACACTGGCAAATGGGTTTCAGCCCCAGCTGTGAGGTGCAGGGCCAAACATCCCTGGAGAGATCGGTTGGCTCCCTCAGACTCAGATCCTTGCCAGTGCGCTGGGAGTTGCTGTGGCCCTCCTTGAACTGGGCAGGCTACCGCTGGGCCCAGTGAGAGGCAGGGGAGCAGGCCGGCTGCAGGAGGCGCAAGGGGGAGGAGATTGGCGGGGCGCCCCTGCTGCAGTGCCCACCCTTGACAGACAGATGCTGGTGCCGGAAGGGGTTTTCAGCACCCTGAAGCTTTTGCTGCAGGGATGTCACTGGGCTGTGCACGTGAACATAGGTGTGGATGCGTGTGTGCACACCTCCATCATCCAGCGGACCCTGGATGCGGCTCCTAGGGCCAAAAAGCCAGCACAGCCCCTCTGTACCCAAAGCCCGTCTCGTTCCTGATCGGGCCTGTGTGAGCATGAGCACCGTTCCATCCCAGCAAGGGCAAACAAGCTGTACCTCGCCGCAATTGGGAGCGCCAGGACATCTTCTCCACTCCCCTTCACGTCCACCACCAGTGCCGTTTCATAGGTCTTCACAGTGTTGGGACACAAAGTCACCTGCCACGGGAACAAGAATCCGAAGGAAGACAGTTAAGGAGAAGGGCCGGCAGCAATGCAGCAGTTCCTCAGCTCACCAGCCAGAGGCGGGCAGGCAGAAGCAATGTGCTGGCAGCAGGGAAACGAAGGAGAAAGGAGGAGGCCATGTAATTTGAAGAATTAAAATATTACTATTGGAGGTTCGGTAATCCAATGCAATGTCTGGATTACAATCAGCAGAGAGATCATGGTTGCTAAATCACCTCTTGGTTGTTCTCCATTGTGTGATTTTACTGCTGATGAGGACTGGGGAGAGAGGAGAAGCCTAAGAAAGAGACCCAAGTTTCTTGAATAAAAATGATTTGAAACAGCGCTCAAAGGGTTTTAAAATTCTCATCAACCAACTTGGAAAGCACTTCTTTCCTGTTCAGAAAGGCTCCTACAGCAGTTTACTAACCAATAAAAACACGATACACAGAGAGTTTAAAGCATATGATGCAAAAGGAAAGTGAGATGAGGAGGAAAGAAGCAAGCCTACTTTCCTCCCTCCCTCCATGCCTGCGAGGTTTGTGTCCTCAGCTAACATATGTAGTTATAGAAAAGCCCAAGTTTCTGCCATCTGCCTGTCAGGGATGGGCACAGGTGAAAGCGAGACATCCTCCAGCAGAGCTGCTTGGCTGGAGGACACTTCATACAGAACTGATCCAACGTGCCGGCACCCACACTGGCTTGATGCTCCCTCCTGCAAGCGAAACTGGTCCACGGGGTTGCACTCTCTCTGCCACGTTGGTAAGTGCTAGGTAGCCGTGGGCTGGGTTCCCACGCGGCTGCAGACTTTTTTGGGCACCAGAGAGCCGAGGGGCTTGAGTGCCCAGGAAGCCATGGACTGGCCTGCCCTTCTTTCTCTGCCCTCTTTATTCTTGCAGAAACAATGAGAATTTGGAGCCATCTTTCTTGTAATTTAAATTAGAAACTCTTTTCTGAAGGCTCCCGGCCAAACTATCATGAGGGACCAGAAAGTATGAAGCTTATACTATCCTTTATTTTTATCCTTTCCCATGTTTTAATGCAAATGCCTGCAAACTCTGTTTCCCTTAAATAAACTCTGTTTGAGTTCATTATTATAATTCAGTGACTGCAGATGAAATCACATCAAGCCCGCTTGTGTTTCCCCAGGACTCATGCTACAAAGGGCTCTGAACCTTCCCTAATTAAGGAGACTGTTAGGTTTTAAACATAAGGTTTTTGTTATTCTTGTTACTGTTGTTTTCATTTCTATACTGCCTGCAGCCAAAGCTCTCTGGGCAGTTTACAACCAAACATTTTTAGATTTTATTTTACCATAATATTGTATTTTATTGTTTTAAATGTTGCTAATTGAGATTGGGGGCCATGTGACCACTGTGATGGGAAAGAGGAGTTCCACACAAGTGGTCTTCCTTGACAGGATGAGGAAGAGAAAGCAGGAGGACCTGACAGCAGGAGCAGATCACAGGAACACAGGATGGCCACGAGCAAAGTTTGGGCAAGGGAAGCAGGATGAGCCGAGAGAAAAGATGCTCATCTGAGAGATGCAGACAAGGAAACTGAGATGCAAGATGCCTAGAATTCCTGCACTAGCTCATCAGCCCGCTTGTCTGAGGTCTTTCGATTCAAGAACTGCCAACTACTTCACTTCCTTCTGCTGCTTCCCTTAAACGTCAATTTCATGGTTTTGGATTTTGCAATCCAGCCGATTCCTGAACCTTTGGGAAGGCTGCCTATCACACTCTAACGAGCCACAGTGCTATAATCCCTCTATCCTCTGCCATTCCGAGTATCACAGGCAGCCAAGAGGCACTGTACCTGAATGTCCATGAGCCCTTGGGAGCGGATGGTTCCATGGCTGGGAGTGATGGTGAACTCCCTCAGCCTCGCATGTCCACAGGAGGCCTTTCTCCACGACGGCCTGGAGATGTCGGAGGCCTGACTCTGACTGCTGACGCTTGGCTCTCCAGTGCCATCTCCTGGCACACGGAGGCTGAATGTCATGGGCACCAAAGAGGTGTTGCTGAGGCAGCAGGACAGGGTGCGAGGGAAACCTGTGAGAAAGCGTGGCCGCCAAACAGGGATTGTGAAACAGAACTAGAAACCAGAACAGATCTTTTGGCATGGGGGTGATGTGCTCTTGCTACTCTGAGCCGGTTCGCAGTCCGATTGCGGCATGTTGCAGCAAGGTGCCGTTTACAGATGCATTTAGAGGTTTGCTCACACAGTGCACATTTCAATAGTTTAGCTGTGATGTCACGAAGGCATGAATCTGGATGTTGCCAGATCCAATTGTTCTGCCAAAGGCAGGGGTTCTTTCAGACTTGGAGGCAATGAGCACGCCAGTAGGCGAAGGAAAAGCAATGCTTTATTTAAGAAATGATAGTATCTGCAGGCA